AATCTTTTTTTGTGATAATTTTTTATATCATGCTACTCGCTTGAGATAGAAAATTATCGTCAGAAACTAAGAGCGCACGTGCCGTTGCCAATGTAAAAATTAACGACGTCATAGGCAAAATAGCGATAAACAGATTATCAATGGTCTTTCAAACTCGAGGATGTTTCTCGGCCACATTTCATATCAGGGCTGTCGCCCTTCGATGAGATTGTTACTGAGAAACACCCTCTCGTTTGAAAAACCATCGATAATCTATAAATATCTACGTGGAGACTAATTTTTAAATAAGGAAAATAAAATATATAGAAATTATTGAGTTAGAATGTGTTGATAAACCACGAGGTCCCCTTCAAACTGAATAAATATTTCTAAACATTAAGGTCAAACCTCCATACTACGTCCAAGGTACCCATTGTCCAGACAATATGGTTTGAAGGGAACCTCCATGGTTCACTTTAATTTACACATACATTTGTACATATAACTACCTAAAATCAAATTAATCGATATCTGCTAATCGACGTCTTTGAAATGTTGGTGGTACTTGTGTTGCTGTCGAATGGGCACCTTGAGGAGGACGTTGTGTTGGAGCAGGTGGGGGCCTTTTCCCTATTGGAAGTGGTGTTTTTGCCCTTGGTGGTCGATAAGGGACCCACGGAGGAATTGGTCTATATGTTCGCGCACCTGGTGGGGGAACTCCACGAGAACCAGGATGTGGTGTCTTTGGAGGTGGCATATATGGTGGACGATTTCTGTAGGCACCGATTGGTGGTGGTCCCATTGGTGGTCTCATTGGTCCAAGCTGGGGTCCACGTAGCATTGGTCCGACACCGCAGTTACAGTCACCAGGTGCTCCTTGTTTTCCTGGAATACCTGGAGAACCTGGGCGTCCAACAGTTCCTGGCATACCTGTTTGAATAATTTTTCAAAATAATATAAGTTATTTTTCTAGTCACAATGAATACAGTACCTCATGTTTTTAAAAGAATAATATAGATTATAGTCTACTAGTCTACATGTAATACATTGACTAGTTTAACTACTACTACTTAAACAATTAATACTATCAATATAATTATAATTATTGTATAGCAATGATATATTACGTAAAGAACGTAACTAAAAATTAATGTGTAAAAATGAAATCAATAATATATTGCATTGCTCCAGTGCAAAGTACTGCAAACACAGCTTCAAATTAGTGATGTCATCAGTGACAAAAATATTCAAGCTTTTTTTTTGCAATGAAAGGGATATTTGTGAATAAATCCCTCGTCTGATATATATTCCACTCGCAACTCATGCAATATAAAATTCTTCGTATGACAATATTCTTCCAAATTTATGCAATAACTCTATACTATTGTTATTACTTGCCTCCCTATTGTTAATGATGAAGAAATGATGGATGTTTAAAGTCTAGTGGCACATTTAATGTAATATTAAATGTGAATATGCGATTGCAATATGCAATTGAACCCTTCATTGTACTAGACCGACAGGCTGAGCCGGAGTTTTAATGTGCTAGCTCATAAAGTAGTAGTGCACCTACTCGGACACATTATTCTGACTCCGAGCCGACTCGTCTTTGTTCTTACTCTTGAATGTGGCGTGGCATGTGGAGAAGTAGCAAATACATATGTCAAACCCATGACCTCGCTAACTAGAATGCTACCACGGGACCACCGAGGCGGATTCATGTTGCTGTCTCTGATTATATGATTGGTTTACATCAGTAATGAAACATTTTTGAAAAAGCCATTATGCAGTACGTGTCAACAATCACACATAAAGTATAATAATATGCTGAAATACATGTACTTTTGTCTCGCGTTTAGCCGTTTTCAGCCGATTTCACGGCGATTCATATTCGCGATTTCTAACTTTGTTTGTGAATTCATATTAGAAAAAATTGCTCCAAGTTTGACATATTCGTGACTATTTATTTTTTTCTTATCGCGAAATGCGCAAAATAAATCGTTTGCGAATGTAAGCTGATTAACAGTATATAAAGATATTTTTTGACAAAAGTAATAATACTCTTACCAAGATCTCCATCAAGTCCTTGGCGACCTGGAGGCCCTATAATAATAAAATAAAAGCTCAAGCATTTACAAAAAATTCCTTTCTAGCTCACCTGGCCAAAAGGCCAAGTGAGCTTTTCTCATCAGTTGAAGTCCATCGTCCGTCGTCGTCGTCCGTTAAGTTTCTACAAAAATCTTCTCATCTGAAACTACTTAGCTAAATTTAACCAAACTTGGCCACAATCATTATTGGGGAATCTAGTTTATTAAATATGTCCGATGATCCCGCCTGTCACCAAGATGCCGACATGGCTAAAAATAGAACATGGGGGTAACATGCAAGTTTTGTCTATTTGGCTACCTGCTGTCCATTTATGTCAAAACTTTCAGACGACTTCTTATTGGAGTTATAGCCCTTAAATGTCAATTTTTTATTTTTTTTTAATTTTTGCCTATTATTTTGAAAACTATAAAAGCTACAGAGAAGTTTGTTTCGGAAAAATGATAAGCAAGACAGGATCTACAAAGAAGTCAACAGACGACTCCTTATTGAAGTTATTACTCTTTAATGACGATTTTCACCCTTTTTGCGTTTTTCTCTTATATCTTAACAACTACAATAGATAGCAAGAAACTTTTAATTAGCAAAAATGATCACTAAGTCAAGATATACAAATCAGTCCCCCATGACCAAAATCGTCAGTTGACTCTTCATTGAAGTAATTTCCATTTAATAACGATTTTTGGCCATTTTTGCCTTTTAATTTCAAAACTATAATTGATAAATAGAAACTTTATATAGCAAAAATTACCAGCAAGACAAGATCTACAAAAATGTCAACATTACTGAAATTATCAGTTAACCCTTTGTAGATTTATTGCCTATTTTTGATGATACAGGTGAGCGACACAGGTGAGCGACACTGGATCTTTAGAGCGTCTAGTTATATTTGTATAAAATCATCGAGTTTGTACTTATTAGCAACACGACGGGAGCCACATGTGAAGCAGGATCTGCTAATCCTTGAATCTTTGATCACCCCTCGTTTGTGGTGGGGTTCGTTCTGCTCAGTCTTTAGTATTTTATACTGTCTTGTGGTATTTTTTCGTTTCTTGCCATGACGTTGTTATATAGATATAGGAAGATGTGGTATGATTACAAGATACAAGATTATGAGTTACAATTTATAAAAGTAAACCATTATAGGTCAAGGTACGGCCTTAGTTTATTTTCGACTTATGAGTTTAAATGTCCCTTTGGTGTCTTTCACCTCTCTTTTATAAACATTTTCCTTACTCACATTGTTAATTTAAAAAAAAATGTAAATCATGAATTATTAAAAAAAAGTATATCTAGAGACAAAGATATACTTGGTTTATATGTTTAGGTCCTTTTTGGTCATATAGATCTTTAACTGTTTCGGTTTTTATACATCAATGGTTTTCAAATATTCGCCTTGGAGCATTCCTGATTAAGGTAATTCCGGAGTTTTTACACTCATCTGTAAGTATTACAAACTGAGGAAAGAGGTTTCGTAACATATATTTTGATTAAAACTCTTTAAATTGAAAATATCTAAAATTTTAATCTTTACAATCGACGTTTTGATCCGAGTAAAAATTGCATAAGTTATAGAGTATATGATAACTAATATACGATAGTAGAACTCTTTAACAAATAATTTTATAGACTCTTTATTGAAATTCACGGGGTATAAAACACCTTAGGGCGTTAACTATTTAAATATCAGCTGAACGTTTTAATCACATTCTTTTATTACAAAGAAATTAAGCTTCTCAATGCTGGAAATTAGTGTTTGTCAAACTGCTATATATCCAATGAAATTATTCTTGTAAATTGATGGGTTAAATTTCTGGAAATTTTTATATTTTTGTCAACAGGTCAAAGTAAATATTTTGTTAAAATTATATGAAAATGAAACGAGACAAATCTATTTTAGTCAAAGTGTTAGGTACCCTCTTAATTGAAATTAAATATACTGAACGCATGATTTTAAAAGTTATTATCTCCCTTTACTATGTTTATTTTCTTTATTACTACACAATTTTAAAGCTTCTTATCTCTTGTTCACGATAGTCTAGAATAGCTTTTTTATTTTAAATTGAAATTGTGTGAAATAATAGCGATAATAAGTTTGATCGACTTCATTCAAAGAACCTCTTTTTAGCAAAAGACGACACCAACAAAACCGAAATCAAAGTGTATGGAAAAAAACGAACATAACAATATGCACTAAACTACAAGGAAACATATATATTGAAACGCCATGAACACTGAAAAATACACAGGGTTATCAATGTGATTTTGACAAAATCCACTGTTATAATCTTGAATTTAATCAAACTTTCAAAAATTTCGTGTTCAAGTACACTTCTTCGGCACGTTTATCTGCCTCTTCTAATTTATTCACTACAGTTCTTGTCGATTAAGAGCTTGACATCTTGTGTATACACTTATCTATTGTTAAAGACTACACAGTGACCTCTGATTTTTCTTTATTTTGTGTTTTCAGATTGCTGTGTCATTGACGTCACCAATCCACCTTTATTCATAATCTTGTCCAAAGTATGAAGTTTCAGGATTGTATACTTAGGCCAAAAAAAATAATATATATATAAATTGTTTGATGTTTCTTACCTACCCACCTAAAAAGCGGCCTACCCGAAATATTTTATGACACAAATGTTGGCCAAAAAAAAAATACCTAACTATCTATCCAACCCTACAAGGCGTAGGAAGGCAACATCAAACACAGAAATTTTTAAGGGTGGCCTTATAATGCTTGACATTTACTGTGAATGAATTCGTGATGAAGTGCGTTTGATTGCAGTTGTTCTTGAGTAAGACAGTATTACGAAAGTATAAAACAAAATGCTGGCTTAAGAAAAACAAAAGAAATAGACATTAAAGGTACATTTGTATAATATTAAACAGAACAAAACTCTATGCTAAGTAATGTAGTTATACATAAAGCACCCTTTTTATACGATTTTGAATATAAAACCCAATAAATAAAACCCGAAATATTTTTTTCATCATACAATATATCAGAATATGTAGATATGATGATTGTAGCTGAACATTGATGTTTTATGCACACAAAATTCCTTAATATATGGTCAGCATTTAAAGAAAATCAAAACAGTACACTACTATAATTTTGTTAGTGGAGCTGATATAAAGAATAGAGAATAATGAGCAAAAATTATAAAGAATAGAGAAAAGTGTCTTAAAAGATTAAAGAAAACAGAATTAAAGGACCCCGAATCCACCCTCATATATTATCAACTTTAGTTTAAAGTAAGGATCGCCACTGATTGAAATACTGCCCTACTTTTTTCTACTTGTAATTTTTTATTGCAACTCTAACTTTTTGTTAAAATTTTCAACATAATTTCATATAGAGAAACATTCAGCTTTTTTGTTAAATAATTTTGAAATTCATTTGTTGTCATCCTTAAAAATGTCACCGTTCTCATTTAAGTTTTTTTGATAGTGTAGAAATTTCATTTTCCTAATTTCAATTATTTCTCATGGTATTTGACTACCACATGAACATGTGTCAGCCATTAAAAGACTATGTATAGTCCTTTCAGTTTACCAACTTTGTTCTTGCCAGTTTATAAAAGAAAAAAACGCAAGGTTTACATATCAATGCTATTATCATAATCAATTGTATGTCGATTCAGGGGATTCTGCGGAATTAAACGCATCATTGTACGATCATTTCTGGTTTTGACTACACTTTTGAGGTAAAACAAAATATAATGGGAAAAGATTAAAGGCTTATTTAGGCATGTTTGTCTTTTTGCCAACACCACAATTGACATGTCTGTACTAAATTGTCAAGTCAATTCCGTCCTATTGTTTTATCAATAAATACTATTTTGAGAGAATATCAATTTGTTTGCAAATGCAGGGGCCAGATAATGATTCTGACCACACCATCTTTACACTCAACAACCTGTAGAGTAATCATAATACATTGAAGAATCCTGTTTATATATATATACCATAGTCATATGATTTTGCAATACTTTGTTTAAGAGTGGAGTCCTAAACGCAAATGCCCAACATTAGACTATCGATCTAATAACCCTAATCCTTAAAATGAGCTTGTTGGGAAAGTACATTGCAATTTTTTAACTATGGACATAAATGTCCTAAGCACGACCCGAATATACAGGACATATATATCCTTGGCGCGATAAAAGGGAAAGGGTTGAAGCACACTAGCCTACTTTTTGAATTTTTCAAATTGCTAGCTACGGATCAAGATTATATTTAACATTCAACAGCAATTTAAGCTTCAACTTCCGCTTCTTCAGCAGCTCCTGAGGGTGTTGTAGTTGTTATATTAGCCACTAAAGTTGTCTTAGGAGTTAATCTGTATGGACCCCATTTCATTTGATATGCGTGATTAGTATATTTTGGCATTGCACGATAGGGAACGAAAGAGCTCCAGTGTTTAGCATGAGAGTTTTGTGCTGTGTATCTTTCACGTAAAGCAGGTGTTTTAGGTTTTGATTTACGATATAGATTTGCATACTGGTACTTTTTCTTTTTTATTTCAGAATTAAGCCCTGCAAAATTTGTAATAGACGGGGAGCGAACGTAATTCAAGTTTTTCCTTTCGGGCGGTTTCGTGTTCTGGTAAGAAGTAAAAGGAGAAATTGTCACTGGAGGTAAATAAGGTCTATATGCAGAAGTAAGTTCTGTATGATTGTCTTTCGGAGATGTTTCGCCATTGTTGTCAAAGTAAACTTTCGCCAATGAATTAAAGTTCGTCAAAATGGATGAAGGTTTAGATGTCGGTGGCTGTTGTTGCATCTGGTTGTAGTTTTCTGGTCGTGCCATTTGGTTCATATTCTGATTGACTGTTTGTTGATTCTGTAGTGTGTTGCTTTCCATTCCCACTCCACAGCAAGCACCTGCCGGAAGTAAGACACAGATCAGCAAAACTTACAGAATAAACAAAAAGACCACAGAAATAAAGGTTGTCCCGAAACCACTTAAAACAAGATAAAACACAAATGTGTAGACTCTGTGAGATATGAAGCACAATAATGTTATAAAATTTACAGGTAATGCGCATGCCCTATTTCAACTGTCTTTGACGATGTTCTCCAAAATATATTTTTGTAAAAGTACTGGAGGAAACACTTTTGCTAATATTGCTAATATTTACATTTAACAAAATCTTTTACCAAACCTTTTTTTGATAAAGGTCTTTTCGAAGACTTATTGCGAAAGACATTTGATGAAAAAGTTCAAGTCATAGTTTCTTTTGAAACAATTAAGTATGGTTATCAATTTGAAATTTTATATACGTCAAATAGTTAGAAATTGTACCTTTGTTATTTCAGTCTTGATGTTGAATTTGAAACTTTTTCTTCTTCTTGAAAATACCTCTCATTCAATATCAAACAGAGGCAAATAGAATCATTTAGAAGTTTCATTTTTAAATTTTATTTTTTCCTAAATGAATTAATAAAAAGAATTTCGGATACCATTGTGGTGCATGATAATGAAATCTAAAAAGAAGAACCATGATTGATTTATATGTTTATGAAATAAAAAGGTAAACATAGTAATGAAATCGATGATCAAATCTCACACTTTCAGAGTCATAACAGACATATACAGCATCGGAAATTGTGCAGTTGAGCGAACGAGTTGATTTTGGATCAGATACAATGCATGTATCAACCTTCACACATCCACTAGAAAGGGTTCAAACAAGGAATATGGCAAAACCAGAAACAGTATATGATTGACATTGTGGACAAGTAGTGGTAATCATTGATTTGAAAGGTCACTTGTTAGTTGAAATATTGAGACAACATTTTGATCAATTATTTCAAGTGTGCGGTCGAAGAACTTGTAAAGTTGTTATTACAGTCGTTCATACTTGTTGGAGTAGTTTCCGAGCTAAGTGTCTACTATGTAGCGGTTAGAAAAATCGCACATCTTATCATCTGTCTACATGGAAAAATAGGTTGTTACTACTTAAAAAAGCGACGCTGACATACTCGCGTTTGTCATAGATCTTTGTTTTCAGTTTTTGGATTTTTTAATATCAATAAAATAAAAAATTGTTTTAAGGTAGAAGGGGTGTCTAAATGTTCGACAGATTTTCTTAAACATCTGTAAAAGACTTCTGAGTCAATGTACTTTCAAATTTCAATATAAAAGCTTGGGGTCACGGACCTTGTTTTCTTTCATCAAAATCTGTTGAAATTAATGAAATTACATTGTTTTATTTAGCTTATATTATTATTCTGTTATTTATTTATGTGTTTCTATGTCCTGAGTGTTATTGCGTTTATTTGTACTGCATTCCTGTCACGTAATGTTGTCATTTTAGCGGTATTTTTAACATTGCCATGTAAGCGGGAGGATTGGCTAGCCATAAAACCAGGTTCAACCCACCATTTATTTCTTAAAATGTCCTGTACCAAGTCAGGAATATGGCAGTTGTTATCAAATAGTCCGTTTCTATGTATATTAGCGTTAGTTTTTGTTTCAGTTCAGTGTTTCTGTTGTTCCGTTTTTTTTTCCTCTTATAGTTGATGTGTGTTCCCTCGGTTTTGGTTTGTGACCCGGATTTGTTTTCGCTTAATCGATTTATGACTATTGAACAGCGGTATATTACTGTTGCCTTTATTTATATAGGGGAAACTTTTGATAATATGATTTTTAGATGTTACTGTTGTACATTAAATGATACTTGGTAAAATATGTAATTAGAGACTCTAAAGAGCCTGTGTCGCTCACCTTTTTGTATGTGCATATCAAACAAAGGACACTCTCCAACATTGTAGACAAGAATAGACTTCATGACAAAAATCTCTATTTTGTTGATCTTGTATTGCTGATCTTTTAGTTTGTTTAGTTTTTCTCTATCTTCTTTAGTTTTGCTCAAAACACAAAAGAGGGTAAAAAAAATCCTCATTTAAGGGCAATCACTCCTATGAAGAGTGACAGTCTACTAACTATATCGGCAAAATTTGACTTTTTAATAGATCTTGCCTTGCTGATCATTTTTGTGATTTAAAGTGTTTATTTATCTATTATGATTTAAATCATATAAGGCATTACGGAAAAACAATTTCTCTCTAAATATCATAGTCTTCATGATAATAGGCAAAAATGAAAAAAATGGTAAAATTTGTCATTTATAGGCAATAACTCCTATAAGAGTTTGTCTCACAGTTTTGACGTATAATGGACAATTGGTAGAGCTCATTATTCCGAACATTTTTGCTCCTTTCAGATTTTCACTATTTATAACGGTTCAAAAATAAATAAACAAAACTCGCATTTTACCCCTATGTTCTATTTTTAGCCATGTCGGCCATGTTGGTTGGTAGGCGGGGTCATCGGACAAATTTTTTTAAACTAGATATCCTAATAATGATTGTGGCCAAGTTTGGTCAAATTTGTCTCAGTAGTTTTAGAGGAGAAGATTTTTGTAAAAGATAACAAAAATTTTCAAAAAATTGACTATAAAGAGCAATAACTCCCTAAGGGGTGGATTGACCATTTTGGTCATTAGGACTTATTTATAGATCTTACTTTGCTGAACATTATTGCTGTTTACAGTTTATCTCTATCTATAATAATATTCAAGGTAATAACCAAAAACTGCAAAGTTTCCTTAAAAAAACCAATTCAGGGGCAGCAACCCAACTACGGGCTGTCTGATTTGTCTGAAAATTTCAGGGCAGATAGATCTTAACCTGATGAACATTTTAATGGCTGTCAGATTTGCTCTAAATGCTTTAGTTTCAGAGATATAAGCCAAAATCTGCATTTTACCCGTATGTTCTTTTTTTAGCCATGTCGGCCATGTTGGTTGGTGGGCGAGGTCATCGGACACATTTTTTAAACAATATACCATAATAATGATTGTGGCTAAGTTTGGTTAAATTTGTCTCAGTAGTTTCAGAGGAGAGGATTTTTGTAAAAGACTACAAAAATTTACAAAAAATTGTTAAAATTGGCTATAAAGGGCAATAACTCCTTAAGGGGGCAATTGACCATTTTGGTCATTGGACTTATTTGTAGATCTTACTTTGCTGTATATTATTGCTAATAGTTTATCTCTATCTATAATAATATTGAAAATAATAGCCTAAAACTGCAAAATTTTCTTAAAATTGCCAATTCAGGGGCGGCAACCCCACAACGGGTTGTTTGATTTGTCTGAAAATTTCAGGGCAGATAGATCTTGAACTGATGAACAATTTTATCCGAGTCAGGTTTGCTCTAAATGCTTTGGTTTCAGAGATATTAGCCAAAATCTACATTTTACCCATATGTTCTATTTTTAGCCATGGCGGCCATCTTGGTTGGCGTACAGGGTCATTGGACAAATTTTTAAACTAGATACCCCGATGATGATTGTGTCCAAGTTTGGTTAAATTTAGTCCAGTTTTTTCAGAGGAGAAGACTTTTGTAAAAGTTAACGATGATGACGACGGACGACGGACGCCAAGTGATGAGAAAAGCTCTCTTGGCCTTTTAGGCCAGGTGAGCTAAAAAAAAAGTTTGTTTGCAACATGCCCAGAAGGTTTGTTCAGAAAATGACACCCAATCTACCTTAAAATGAGTTGCTGTGTTGCAATGATGGCCATGTGTCTTCCTCTTTCATTTTTCAATAAAAAATAAACGAATCCTTACCTGGTGCACCTATTCTTCCTACAATGAAAGAAAATGATTTGTTCAGCATAATGTTAAAAAATTATTGAAACAAGTAAACGTAGATGTATGATTTATATACTGTAGAATTGATGAGAATTTACTTATTACAGCATCATTTATGCTTGCTTAAAGCTCCCCGAGCCAGCCCAGTAGCTAGCACATCTGTGATAACATGATCATCATTGATATGGTCATATTTATAATTTAACAATTTACAAACTGTTCCAAATACTTAGGACTTTCCACCCTATAAAAATATTTCCTAAACTGTCCTCAATGCTTCTTAACTTCGTATTTGGCCTTAAATTGTTTGATTCGAGCGTCACTGATGAGTCTTATCTAGACGAACAGCGCTTCTGGCATATACAATTATATGTCTGGTAACTATGATGAGTTTTCTTACAGTCACATAAATAACATAAACGAGATTGTTCCACGTTTAAAAAAAACACCGTTTATTGTAACTTACCTGGAGGTCCTATTGGTCCCATTCTGCCACCTGGTCCTCTCATCCCATAGGCACCTTTAGGACCTATTTGAGAATGATCAACATTAGCATGCATATGTTCAGTTTTGAGTACATTGTACGTCTTGTTTAAATGTAGAGAAAAAAAAAGAAATTCAAAACATTTACGTAAATATAATAACATTCATCTGCAAAATATTTTATTATTCCATCATACTTATGAATAAATACATAAATAAATATAAATAATTGCAATATATTATTTAGAGCTCTCAGCCATTTTATGAACGTTACTATGTGGCTACATAATACTGCATTTCTATTGTTTACATTTATTACAAATGTATAATATATATATATGTATCATACTAGTTTCAGATTTGTAGTGCTCGAGGTTACGTAAGTCTGTATTTACCGTCATTAGACCAAACGATTAAGAAGTCAAATATTGTACTTAAATTACCTCAGCGTATCAATACCTATGATTACTGCAATCACAAACATATCGTACTAAGTGAAACATATGACATTTGTGTACCTATTGCACTATGAATGATAGAATAAATGAGTTAAATATGATTAATTCGTGATTTAATCACTCCTAATGTTTAATAATTTTCTAGGAAATTGAAAAAGCGAAGGAGAATCAATTAGATGTTACATATTAAATAATTGTCAAAACAAATTAAGTAAAACGAAACTACACGCCTGTTATTATATTAAACTTAAATTGATTGTTCAGAAAACAGTAAAGTAGTCGGAATATGATATAAACATGTTACATAAATATTTGGCTGTTTGGTTAAACATATTAAATAAATCTAAGTTACACGTCTGCTATATCATAAAGCTTAAAATGATTGTTAAGAAAACAATAAAGATGTAGGAGTATGATATAAACAAATTTACTGAAAAAGTACAGCTGCAGTAAATGATTAAGTTTCAAACAGGGAATTATAATGCCACGGTTTGTACCTCTTAATTGTGTTACAAGATATACCCAATATGAGTTTTTATAATAAATTTGTTGGCTGCGTCCGGGATGAATGTCGGGGAAATTAAGACTACCACTAGAAAATGAGGGTATACTGGAAAGGAAGTATTGGCTGGCCACCTACAAACCACTCAAACAGTTGTTGAAAGGGTTCTTAACGTGCTGAGGACATGGCAATCTCTCTACAAGAGGCATCGAATTTAAGGATGTTTGCTACTCTGTTTTAAAATAACAAGCTTTCAAAAAGACTGTTCTAAATTCATAGTATATATATAAAGGAACCAAAAAAGCATAAAAAAATGAAGGGTCCGTGTGCTTGTTTTTGAGATATAAGCCATTGAAAATTTGGCGGGAAATAATTCTCTCTAGATTTTTCATACATTTAACATTGGCACCTTTTTTCTTTCAAAAACGATGAAAAAATAACAAGGATTTTATAAGATTTTCAAATATGGCTTTTCAAACTATGTGTATTAAAATCATGAAAAGAAAAGTAGGGGTTAGTGGGCAAAATTTTTTAATGGTGATACATGGATAAAACGAGAAGATTCCAAAAATCTGGCAAAAAAATCAAAAACAAGAGGAGCAAACATCCTTAACGTTTCCATTCTGACAAGACGTGGCTGCGAACTTCTACATCACACACAGCAAAACGGACGCCCCACTATGGCATGGGATTTACTGTCGATTGGAACAAGAACCAAGTGACAATATTTCTATTCCATAGTCATCCTTGGGTGTTCTCCGGTTTTGACAATACTTTTGGGCTACTTTTCAACGTTTCTAATAGGTTTGAGAATTGTTTATATGTATATATATTATGTTGACCTCGCGTATCACTGTAAAGGCATTAATTGTCAAAATGCGTATATGGTGCAGTAAAATTGTTACTGTTTCATGTTATAAGAATTACCGGGTCGATAGCTTTGCTGGAAGATTGATGTTCTCAAGAGCAGGATTGTTCAGTACATCGTACCTTTTACAATTTTTATTATAAGAAGTGAATAAAATAATTTACCCATTAGTCCAGGCTTTCCTCCATAACCTTGAGGTCCTGAAATATAACAAAAGAAATTGAAAACTAGAAAAAATCTCCTATGAACAGAAAGTTTCAAAGAAAGTGGATGGATGGATGTCGTGTTAACATAATTAATTTACTTTACCTCTAATCGACGTGTGTTAACGAGATACAATATAAAAATTTAAATTATTCTTGCCATATTTCTTTTTTTTTAAATGTTCATGCATATTTTTTTCTAAAAGTTTATCATAACCTTTATTAATGATTCTGCTGCTTTGTTATCGACATTGTAATCAAATTGATTTTTTTTTCGTTTAGATTTGTTTTTCTCTTCACTAAGTGGCATATTTATTATTCCTTCACACGTTGCGTACACGAATAGATATGATTTTTGTTGATATAACAAAGTTACCAGACCTGGTACTTTTTAGGGACTATTGTGTAAAGTGCGACACAAGGTGGACAATTATTCAAATTAAAAATAATCAATAACCAAGTCAAGTCTACATGACTTTGAATGTAAATACTTGTTATCTAATAACTTCTTTTACGTACCTCGTAAGCCCATATCCCCTTTGTCACCTGAAAGATAAATCAACCAAGCTTTCATATATATTCACAATTACAATGTGGTTTTGTTCAACTGTTCATCGACTGATTGATTAATCGGTTTTCTTGAAACGTTCATTGTCAGGTATGACATGCGTGAGGATCTGGGAAAAGGGTGGGAGGGGGAGTCCTTCACATCTGTATTATTTAACTTTTATGTCATGTTTGTGTATTCCTTATATGTTTTGTCCGTTATTTTTTATTACTTATTTTTCTTGCCATTTATTCTGCACATTTTATCCATTATTCTCTATTCTGTAAACCCCATCCAGACCCTGATGGATATCAGGGTGATAACAATTAAATGTTAAGGCTATAAACTATCATTCTACCCCTGGAATATATTACCTTAATAAATGCTCGTCCAATCGAATAACTTGAATTTGCCTTCTTAGTTTCATAGTACAAGCTTTTCCCATGTACTAAGTAATTATTCATGAATGACCAAAATTTCATTGCATCGTAATCAAGATATTTTAAAACAAATGACCACTGGCTATAAATTCTGCTATTACAGTCTTTGGTTTGAAAAAAATATTTGTGATAATTGCTTTTATTTATTTTTTTTATTTTAGTTTCCTTTATTTAAATAAAGAATATTACATTTTTTCCTTAATACCTTGATTAGAGTACATCATCAATGCAATTACTATGTACACAAAAACGTATGTACTATGAAACCCTGTCAAGGGAAATTAAGGTAACTTGGTTAGCGACATTCCGTTTTGAATTTTCCTCGGAGTTCAGTATTTTTGTGATTTTATTTTTTGAAAATGATTTTTTTTTAATTTCTTAGGGAACTGGATCCTTTTCATCGTGAAATAAAAAGGGAAAGTGCCACCTTTATCTATATTCCAATAAAGCTTGTAGTTTTTACTTTGAAAACAAACTGTGATCTTTGATCTATTGGTAGTTGCTTTTTAATGCCTATTCGCTAGAAAATCTATGAGCACATATATCGATATTTATTATAGCTTTATTTGTACTGTGAAATTGAAAAATAATGTTTTCAAAGCATGTGAAGCTCCCACTGCAATTTAATAATATATATATTTGCTTTTCGTCAATTGATTTTGTCATCTTACCATGTAAAGAAGTGCATGTAGAAAGACACCGCTTTATATCAATATACATACTTACACCAGCAGCTACATTTATTTTATTCTGTAGTGAAGCCCTTTTTAAATATTTGTTTTATGAGATTGACTCATAAGCCTCTATTTTCCCAATTCGTGTTTGCTGCATTTATAAACTCATGATAGTGTTAATCACTGTCACAAATTGAACAAATATGAAAGCTATGATACAAGTGAGTAAATTTACACAACATAAACTCCGTTTTACAAACACTTGTTATATAAGTAGTCACCCAAAATAAATCAAAAGATCAACTAAAAGATTACTTGAGTTGTAGATATGTGCTAAATTGGATTGTCTTTGAAAATGTATATACTATGAAATAAAGTGCTCGGAGCAAGCCTCTTGCTCTTAATTTCATAGTACATACCTAGACATAGCTGTATTTAGCAAAATATTTCGGATTTTGGGGTTCTCACTGTTCATTGCGTCACTGATGAGATTTTGTAGACGAAACGCTCATCTGGCGTAGCAAACTTTAAGCCTGGTAACTATGACGAGTTTATTTGTTGGAGATTGATCCGCCACGTCGGTGTGTAAATGTCTCAGCTCATAAGTTAACAGTCCACATAAAGACAGAAATGTCAGATAGAAGTGAAACTATTTTCATGGTATGAATGGTTTGGAGTTCATATAGCCAATATATGTCACATTGTTCCTTAGGTGTTCAAATATTTTTACATCCTAGTCTGATGAAGGTAAATCTAGAAAAGTCCGCTCAACGCACCAAACGCAAACAGTGTTATTTTCATTTTTCATACTATTTTGAGTCATAAAAAATTTGATGGTTTAACCATTATATTGCCTTCGCTTTCATTTTGAGCATCGACCAACTGGATTGCCATATAAAATATCTCCAATCATTCAAAAGAAGTTTTTTGTAATCTTTTTCCTCGACAGTATATAAATAATAGCTATAGCTACAGTGTAAATTATCCTACCTTTTGGACCCGGTGGACCTGCAAGAAGATTTAACAAACATAGCTTAGCTGTTAACAAATAAAGATACAAAAAGTGAATTAGGAATTGACTAACCAATATGTCTGTCATGAACACACTAACTTTTATCATACAAATTTAGATATTTTGTAATGCAAAATTTTCAACTGAAATAGTGTAAGTCTTAAGGCAGTTATAAAGAAAGTGTGTCAATACACAAATTAAAAGCTTTAATTTTTTTTCTATGAATTCGAATTTGCTCGTTTTAACAAATCTTTAGTCTTAAAAAATATAAATACATAGCTGTGAAGTCTTATAAGTCACAAATGAGTCTTTTGTAGACGAAACGCGCGTCTGGCGTACGATACTGTCTATGATGAGTTTATTTTTATAAACAAATTGTTGGCCTATGTTTCTAATATTTGAATTACAGAATTATGTAAAAAATAAATAAATACACGTAAACATTTTAAAACCATTACCTGAAGCTCCTGGTGGTCCCGGTGCCCCTACAAATCAAAGAGTGGCATCTATAAATTGAGGACTATTAAGCTGAAAGGGTTTAAACCGTCATAGTAGAACATTGATTATTACATGACTTGCACCTGTAGTGGGTTGTTTGAAATTCACATGCTCACATGACATGCACAGACCAATAACAAGTATTTGTGACTAGGCTGTGTCAGAGAAACGTTTTTCCCCTTATTCTATATACTTTCACTGATCACACCCATAACGTCTTCTTCTAAAGTTCGGCTATATACAGTAAAAATAGTTTAATAACATACTATTCCAATTTTTATTGGCTTAAACTTTTTAAAAAAGTTTTTCGCTATCTACTATAGTTTTACCCTAAAACACAAACAATGGGTAACACATCGTCATTCTAGGAGGATGACTCCTATAAGAAATTTTCTGACAATTTCTTCTTTGTTGACCAATTTGTAGGTAAATAATTTTTTCGCTGCGTAAAGTTTCTCTCGATCTTTCAATGCTTTTGCCCAAGACTTAGAAAAGGTAAACATTTGCATCCTATGAGGACAATTTAGACCGTGTTGAGGTTTTGTAGATCTTGTGTTGTTGATCATAGTTGCACGAACAATATCAATTTCAAAATAATAGCCAAAAACTAAAATTATTGGTAAAATAATGCCATTGTAGGGCAATAACTCCTATAAGGAGTAGACTAACTATTTAAGATATATTGACCAATTTGCAGATCTTGTTTTGCAGATTATTTTAGCAGTTTTCAGTTTTATCTATGATATTTTATTTTAAAATGTAAACAAGGGGTAAAATAATATTTTAAGAGGTATAATTCCTAATTGAATTTGGTTGAATATTTCAGCTGTGTTAATCAAGCTTGTTATAAAAAGTTTTTCTCTGTCAATAGTATCATGATATTAAGCAAAGACACAAAAAAATTGATGAAAATCGTTATTTAAGAGAAATAACTCCTATACGGAGTTGTTTGACAATTTCGGTCATGTTGAATGTGTGGATGATCATATCTGACCTTAATCTGGCGTTCTATGTATTATAGTTTTCAAGATAAGAGGAAAAAAACAAAAGAAAAAAAAGTAAAAATCGGCTTTTAAGGACAAATGAGTTGTCTTACCAATTTAGAAAACAAACAAATATAGTTATATTTTGTTTAATGTCTTGTTAATTAGTGAGAGTTGAAGTAATATGATAATATCTTTAAGACCATTTTTAAAATTGTACATGTGTGTAATCCTCCTTGATTGTTTTCTGTCTTTATGTAAAAAAAAACCCTAAAAAACAAAAACAAAAACCCCCCAAAAAAAACCATACACCTGAGCATGTTATGTATAAATCAATGTAAGGTTCCGAAGAATATTTACCCACTATAATGACTGTCTTAAAACATACAGTCGATGTCATATAAACGTTTGGATTTAAGGAATGTGACCTAAACTAATATTATCAATATAAAATATCTTTACTCGCAATCATTAATCAAAACGTCAGCGTGCCACAAATGCATCCTTTTCGATATTTTTTAAGTGAGCGGTTTACAAGTGAGAGGCTTAGCTAGCTATAAAACCAGGTTTAATCCACCATTTTCTACATAAGGAACCAGTTGTTTTCCATTCGTTTGATGTGTTTGAGCTTTTGATTTTGCCATTTGATGAGGGACTGTTCGTTTTGAATTTTCCTTGGAGTTCGGTATTTTCGTTATTTTTACTTTTTATAAAGTTTTGTGCGGTGTTGAACCTTGCGAAATCATAGTTTCATATAGTATTAAGCACTGTTGGAGCAACTTATATCATTGTAGCATTTTGACGCTAGTTCGCATTTTCATTCGTTTCGTTTTCTGTGTTCGCTTGTGATTATTTTTGTTATAATGTAAATATAGAAATAAGAAGATGTGGTATGATTATAAATCTGTTTTCCTTTTTAGAACGGTTCGCTATTTTAGAACTTTGTATTGTCTGTACCAAACAAAATGTTTTTAGAAAGCCCGTTAGCCTATTTTTTTGTTTATTATCTAATTTTTATAAATTTACCTTGAACGATATCTTGTGGTCCCGATTTTCCAGCTCCTTGAAACAAAAAAAAATGTTTAGAATATTTTGACGCACCTGATAACCAACAAAATCTATTAAATGTTTTTTTTTTATATATATAAAGGTTAATTTCGTAACAAAATCCTGCAAAAGTTTCAATGATTGATCTGGTTACTAACTATTGAAAGAGAGATTGAAGATACCAAAGGGATATTAAAAATAACTCACAAGTAAATGACAAAATAACAACGCCATGACCAAAAAAAAAACGAAAATCAACCAAAGGACGGACAACAGTATACAAAACACAACTAAAGACTGAGCACGCCAAATTGGAGTTTAATTTTTCTACAGTTCACGTTATAAACAGAAGTTTTTGGTTTTATCAGACAATGGAATATTAAATTAAATGTTGGTAATATGCAAAGATTACACCCTATGTTGTTTTAAACGTCGCTCTGCAAAACCCTCACCGCAAGTATATCGCGTTACAAACACCATAAATAGAGGCCTTTAATTGCTAAACTGCAATACTCTTAATATATTTTACGGGCATCATCAATACATTGATGACCGCTACGGAATATACATGTCAAGCAGACCGCAGATACATTCCTATCGCCGTGACTAAAGTTGAGCCCTAGTTTCCGTAATAATTTACATCTATATTACCAAATACAACATATCTATTCACTTCTATGTAACGAGCAATAAGATGGGTTCCACTGGTAGACCTGGGTTGTCTTACCCTTCATGATTTCCTGTTTTATTTCTGTTATTTAGAGGGGCTCGTGTTACTTATTTTTAATTTGATGTGTGGTAAACAGTAGACTGATGTTCGCCTTTCAGACATTTCTTCTTTTTGTCTATGTTATTATATATTTGTTTTCGATTTGTAATTTATTTATTCACCCTCGGGGTCTTCAGAATGTTTTAGTTGTTGCTATTATACATTAAAAATGTTAATGAGTAAACAATAAAAGCACGATAACGATTAACCAGCTAGTCGGAAGAAGCGCTGAGTATTTTAATTTTAAAACCTGTAAAATAGTGACAAAGAAAATTTTGCAACTGACGATTATAGAAACATCATTCAAGCATACATAAATCCCACCTCACTCGAATTCGCCGTTTCAGAATATGATGCATTCTGGGTAATATTTTCAAAGCGTAAGCCAAAACGTTGTAATTGGCTGACAACATCCTAAACATTGGAATTTCAACATAGGACGTGACGTTATTTACATTTTGGTTTACGAACAACGAAATTACCTATAGTCATTTTAGATTCTAAAGCGGCAATCTAGAACAGTATTAACATATTAAAAGGTCACTTATAAAGATAACTTACCAGGTGGACCAGCTGGGCCCTCGGGCCCGATTTGACCTGCAAGTATAGAGCAGATAGTTTCATAATAGTTTCAACATCAAACAACATTAATACAGTTAGATGGTTATCGTTCATTCAAAAATGTCACTCATTATTTATAGCAGTTTCCAAAGCCGCAGTTAAGAGATATGTTATGCAGGTGTTTGCACAACACTAGTTAGTAAAATTGTTAGTGATCTCCTAGTACATCTATATATTCACCATTGTAATTTTATTTGTTTGTATGTTTTTTCTAACTTGTCTTTTTATTTGATTGCATATATGCTTAAGTATTTTATTTGTTGTCTGTTTACTTTCTTCGTATTTGGTGTGTCTTTTTTATTAACTGTTTTAATGTCCTGATTTTAGGTTCTTTATGTTGAATCTGTCAAAAATGACAAATGGTTTGAAGTTGACACATTATGGAACATCCTTTAAAACATAAGACATGCGGAGAAGAAGATACAATTTTATTTTTCCTTCAAATGTACATAAATAAATTAAATAACAACATTACATAAGATTTATCATACACCTTTTTGTTAATCTCGGTTTGACTTAATTATTGAAATTGCTTTTTTAAGGGCTAACGGGTTATTTTTCAATTTTTGTAATTTTGTAAGTAATAATTTCTGTCGTATTAATTTTAATGCTGCAATTTTCTTTAACTGAAGAATTCTTTTATCAACAATTTTGATTGCCTCTTCACGCTTAATTTTTTTATTTTCTTGTACGGACATATCCTTAATATCCGGTAGTTTCAAGGACATTTCTTCTTTGTAACTAGTTAACGTTGAAATGGCATCTGAAGGTTTTGTTAATTGTTCATATTGCACATTGAGTTGAATTTGGTCTTTGCTACTGTAATCTTGTCCGTTGTCCTGAATAAAATCAGTCGGTAATCTTTGTAAATCTAAAGTGGATTCTGTTATTTGTTTCGTTGGTATTTTGGCAATAGATACTCGTTCGCTGAATACTGGATCATTTTTGTCTTGATTACTTGGCAAAGTGTCTGACTGGAATGAATATGGAACGCCAGGTCTCCATTTAAACTTATATGCACGTTTCTTTGTGGTTGTTGTATCAACCGACGATTCCGTAGTTATGTCATTATAGGAGTTTTCTATGTAACCATACATCACTTTATTATCTTGGCCACCATTTCTTTTATAATTTCCATTAAATTCAGGATACGAGCCATAATTATTACGACCATCATTTTGATAATTATATTGGCCCTCATTTTGATAATTGTGTTGACCTTCATTTTGATAATTATATTGGCCCTCATTTTGATAATTATGCTGACCTTCATTTTGATAATTATATTGCCCCTCGTTTTGATAAGTATGTTGACCTTCACTTTGATAATTATATTGCCCCTCGTTTTGATAAGTATTTTGACCCTCATTTTGATAATTATGTGCATATAATTCGTTATAAGAACCATAATAATTTTGATAACTAGTTCGATCATTACTTCCATTCAATTCGGTATAAGGATCATAATCGTTAATTGTTGTATTGTGCGGCGACTGGGTTGAGGAGACTGGGTTGAGGTGAGGCGACTGAGTTGAGGTGACGTATTTCTTGACGTCATCATATGAGGTTCCCATTGCTGACTGTAAATCAAAGCCGTGTCTCACAACTTTAAGCCAATCATTTTCAACAGAGGATGGTGATCGAATTGTAACAGATGTGTCTGTTGTGTCTTTAAATTTGACTCTTAAAAGTTGGATGGCATCTTGGAAAGTTTTAGTTTCACCTTGAAATCTAGATGTGGTAGGCAACGTTGAATCGGTAGTAACCCGGATATCTTGGTAAGTTTTAGCTTCATCTTGAAATCTAGATGTGGTAGGCAACGTTGAATCGGTAGTAACACGGATATCCGTTCCAGCTTCATCTTCGGATGTAGATGTGGTTGGCAACGTTGAATGGGTAATAACACTTACATCTTGGTAAATTTTAGTTTCACCTTTGAGTACAGATGTAGTTGGCGTCGCTGAATAGGTAGTAACACTGACATCTTTTAGAGGCGTTTCTATAAAATGTAAGTTGTTCCCAGACTCAACTGGAGGCTGACCTACGACATTCACAGCCTCCTGATCAATGGTTTTGTTGTTTGATACACGAATGTTAATATCTTGTGTCGTGTCGGTATATTTCAGAGGTTCGACCGTTGTAGTGGTAGATACTGGGTCTAGATATTTTGACACATGTGGCTGTATCGTAGTTTGTTTTAGTTTGCTAGAATATGCTTGTTCGTACAATGCTTGTATTTCGCGTTGAAAGGTATGTTTCGAAGAGACAGATTTGCCAATGCGTGTTGTTAATTCAGATTCTAATGGAATATCTGTTGATGTCGTATATTCATTCGACAGTCTGTCTGGAAGAATGTTTAATACAGCCAGGGGTTTAGATAAAAGAATGTCTGTATTATTCGATTTAAAACTTGAATCAGTTGTTGTCTTATCATGGGTCTGCTTAAAGGTTTCCTCGGTATAGGAATGGTACTTTTTACCAGAGGGTATTTGTACAAAGAATGTTTTTGGTGTCACGATTTCTCCTTGTTGTGTATTAAATGTTTGTTGCTTTTCAAAATGCTCGGTTTGCATCACTGCATCATCTCCGAACCTTTCCGTTTTATATCTGTGAACAGTTACATCATCTGAAATTGAGAAACAAATGGGATTCACGGAATATGTGAATCTTTAAATTTCAAAGTTTGTAAAGATGCTATGAGTGTTAAATTGAATTCATCATTTGTTTTCATTTGAAAGGAAAAAAGGTTGAGTCTGTTAATCAAACTGCTGTTACTAAATTTTTTGTTGTTATCAATTTATATTATAAGAGATTATACCAATGAGAAAAACTTAAAATGGAAATGACAGTCGATGTACGGGGTAACTTAAAGGTGTTCAACATTTGCATCATACTCAAACTGATTAATTTACATATTCTTCATAAGAATTGCATAAAATATCCAATGACACCGAAAAACTTAATCATGCACTTATTGTTTCGAAACAGATGACAAAACAACACGAACAGTGAGTATAATGATAAAAATAGTAAAATAACAAGCTCAATGACAAATGTTATTGCTAAACTATACAACAAAGACATCAGTATACGTGTTTAACTATATAAATGATAAAAGAGTTAATTACCTCTGTATAAGTTAAAGCCATTTCTTATCATTTAATCATTTAATTAACTTGGAAAAAACTTACTTTGATAACATTTAGAAAAAAATAGTTACAAAACAACGACTACGAATTAAAAAACTGTGAACTATCGAACATTTCTAATATAATTGTTTAACGATAGAACAGATCTGTCAAAATATTGCTTTTGCCTGATTATATATGCAGTTGCATTTTATTTGAGACATATATTTTCATTCGACTACTGGGAAATGTAAGCCCAATAAATATTCCAAAAGATTTATTAAAATATTTTTGTGTCAGTATGTTGCTGTTTATACATAATTATATCATGAACAACGAAAGTTGACCTCTTGTGTATGGTTGAAAGGACTTTAACCCGACAATCAACAAAAAACATAATAATGGTAGAAAATCGTTGTACACATATATTCATTCTTATGAATTAATAATGTTAAACTATGTAATATATAAAAGTCCAATATATTTCGAAGCAAACAAACTATTTATAATACGATTTGTAAACCTCCGCTTCTGATTGTACTAAAAAACCTGTTAAACGTTGAATATGAGCTAACTCATGCTTTATTAATTTGTATATCGCGAAGATTAGAACAAAGTCCTTTATCCAGTAAGTGTTACCGCCGGAAATGCAGTTGAATAACTTCCCCTGTAAAATGTAAAAGTTGATCTGTGACATAAATCCCAATTATCATATATAAACTTAATAATATGAATACGTCATAACTGTATATTTCATTGTTACGAAGATACAAAAGAGGATATCACCTATTAACTTTTTTGTGTATGCATGGACGGGGGCAAAATGAGAACGCTTTAATTGTTTACAAATATTTTATGTAATGCTAAAACAAATAATAATTTCACACACCAAGCAAGAAAGCACTTATCTGCCAAGATCAGCATATCTATACTGCTGATTATAATTATAGTTCGGGTCATTTGCAGGAGGATAGGCACCACCGGGGGAGTAATAGGGATCACGTGTGGTAGCTGAGTAATGTGGTGCTTGTGGGTAATTAGGCGCTGTTGGTTGGGGAGGTACCTGTTGGTAGTTGGGAGCTGTTGGTGGAGGTGGCGGTTGTGTTTGGTACTGGGGCCCAGCATACCGGGTGTCCTGGTAATATGGATCTTGATATGCAGTTTGGGATTGTGGTTCTTGTGGAGGAGGGGGTTGATATTGTGTTCCAGGACTGTAGGCCGAGTTCGGATTTGGTTGTTGTTGTTGTTGTTGATCGTAGGGATATGGTTGACCGTACTGATCGACTGCTGGTGGAGTTTGATACCCATTGACACCCGCAGGAGGCGGCGGTTGTTGATATTGAACATGTGTGTTGTCATATGCAGGCTGAGGATTGGACGATAGTGGCTCGACATAAGCATTTTGATTAGGTGGTGGAATATATTGCCCGGGCTGTTGGTTTTGGGGCGGAGGAATATATTGTGGAGGAACTGGTTTAGGGGGTGTAGGCATATAACTTTGGGCGACCTGCATTGGCTGTCCTGGTGGTTGGGGGATGTACTGACTTTGCGCGGGTTGATAAGGAGGTTGCTGAATTAGTTGGTTTGGATTTACTTGAGGATGTGGGGTTGGTACCGGATTTTGTTGAGCGGGCAAATAATTATGTTGAGTTGGATCCTGGACATTCTGGGGTTGCTTGTAGTTTTCATTTTGAGTTTGAGACTGTTGATAGGAAGGAGGAAAATAAACTACACCAGTATTTTGAGGATTTTGATCTGCGAATTCGGCTTTTTGTACTTCATACAAAGGTGTGGTGGTTTGTGTTGTTTTCGTTTCTACCTTTACATGAACATGTTCTTCTCTACCATTTCTTAAATAAGAAAATTCTTGCGGTTGTTTGTTTGGGGAATCAGGCGTTTCATGATTATTAACATTGCTGCGTATTTTTTCAGTTAAATTTTGTCCTAAATTTGATTCAAGCTTTTTGCCGTCTGTATCAGCTAGAGATTTTCCACTAGATAGCATATTCTCCAGCATATTTATACCGTCGTCGATACTTTTAAGTTGATCTTTTGACAAATTCTTGTCATTTCGTGGCTCGCAACAAGTACCTGGTTGACCTGGAATGCCGTTTTCACCTTTAAGACCCGGAATTCCATCGTTACCAGCAGTTCCTGGTGGCCCTAATGGTCCTGGTTCGCCTAAAATGTAAACATTTTTTTTTCAAAATTTCGTTTACTAGTATAAATGTTTTACTAAAACATTGTGGTAAATAAAATTCATTACCGGCGACAGAAATATAACGGTACGAATTCGTCCATCTAGTTTATTTTTTTTTTTTATTTTCTCGTACTTTTTCCTTGATCAGATAAAACTGGGATTCCACCTTGAACTCGTCACGCGTTACGATTTTGACAGAAAACCAATAATCAGCCGATTGCATTTTATAGCTATCGACAACAATGAACTTCTAATAATACTGTTGACTGCATTGTTTAATGAAATAGTGTGGTTTAATGACGTCACATGTCACCTAAAGATTTTTTACAACTTTTATTTTTGAATTTGATAAAAATGATTGTTTTGAAGTGGGTACGTTTTAGCGACGCACGTGTTCGAAGCATAGTTCCAAGTCTATTTTTTTTTGTCTTTTAACTAAGGCCCGGAAAAGAAAACTTGTTATGAAGAAACATGTTCAAAAGTAAGAAAATTCTCTGACTTGAGACTTTATACTTGAACTAGACGGGAAGTGTTCGATAAACCTATTGAAGATGAATACCGTGTTTCCAGAAGTCAAATATGATAATTTTGTGATTTAAATTGCAATTTTATTGTATTTAAAAAGTTAATGATTGGTATTAATGAATTTTTATGTACTACAATGTTGATTAGAAATGGAAATATGTAGAATTAAAATAGTAAGCCAACAAATGAAAACTATGTTCATGTTAATTGGCGAAAGAAATTGAAAGTGGCAACTAAAATATTGTTTTGGAGAAAGGGGTGGCGAAAAAGAACACTGTCCAAGGAGAAACTTGAAATATATCAAATACAAAATACTTTTTTATATCAAATATTAATGTGTGTTGTACATCATCCGAAACTGAAAATAAAGACAAGACGACACACATTGATGATGTATCTTTTTAAATTTGTCATTTAACTTTGTGTACTTACATGTACAAGAAAGGCCTAATATGTAATCCAAAGGAAGCATGTATCTGCATTAGTGAGCAATGATATACAGTTATAGTGTATATATCACACATATAAATGTTTCTTATTTGCTAGCTTCCATTTTGTTCAATACAATGAGTCATCTTTTCATTTTCCGCAAGGAAAAATATCAAAGGAAATATTTAAATCATTCTAAATTTATGAATTACTAGTAGTCAATATTTATGTAGGATGCAAATAAAAAAGACATATTCCAATTTATATTTCGACACGTGAAGTGAAGTCATACTGAAATGAAAACTAATATCGAACAATGTTATCTGCATGATATATCCGTCAATGTTTAGTTACAATGGATTAAAATGAGAAATGTGTTTCGGTCATTTTGAGCGATCGATATTTGCCGAGATGTCTTTAAACAGGGAGCAAAGACTCCGATGCGTACTTTTCGACAACAAAAGTTTGGAATTATTTTGTTTTGAATTTGTGATGTTATAAGTCAGACTTAGATAACTCATATCGTGTCATATTTTTACTATGATACATTTCAAGGATAAAATTTCATACCTGGATGACCACGTGGTCCAATTGGTCCAATCACACCTGGTTGACCGGCTTTTCCTGGAAGGCCAATAGGTCCTGGTGGTCCTGGTGGACCTACAAATTAACATTGAAATGCTCACAATATAAATTTGCATCTGACTTCTTTAATAAACGCAAGTATGAATATTTACATTTCAAAGATATGAATTTGTATGAAGCTTTACTGATATGTTTTTGACAAAGAGGGAACAAAACATTAACTGAATCTACTCCTTTCATTAACGATACGATGTTCACTAATCGGAAATGATATCTAATTTAAGGATTATGACTGTCTTCATTTATCTTGGATTGTAAAATAGCAAAACACAATAGGTCTAGAATTTTGATTAGGTCAGCAAATGTCAATGCAGGAATGCAACTTACTACTATGAGTTTTCGTTTAAATGAACAAATTAATGTGATCTTGGGTTATTATCACACATATTTTTACAGAAGTAGAATATTATAGCTTGATTTGACCTTTTTATAAACTTTGGCATTAAGGGGAGATAACTAAGAAAATGTATGATTTATAAAGGAATTTCAAGATTTTTCTATTTTATGCTATAATGTACGGTGACTCAAATTTTTCTTTTGATATTCTGAAAGCATTTTATAAGAGCTATCTGCTCATATTTTATTTCAAAATTCTATCATGTAGATTACTTTCCTTTCATGTTATGAATCTTTTTTTCTCTGTATAATCCAGAAATATTTGTCATTTTTTTTCACAGCCTGTAGCTTGATAACAAGCTTGGTGACCTACCATTTTTATTATATTTTTGAACATATCACAATATATTCGTGATTAAGGCACAGTATGAAAAAATTCTAAAATTTTTTTGTTTAGAGTCTCATACAACATTAAATATCTATCGTTGATAAGCATTGTAAATAATATACAATCTAAGCTATCGCTGGCTACTAAAATGCTTGTCCTTTCCGACAACACATTTAGACCGCATCCTGTGTTGTCTGAGCTATCCACTCATTCATCCCTCTATTACTTTCATTGCGGTCAAAATGTTGATAATTAACGTTATGTCAGAAATGTTACCGCACCAACATGCTTAATGTTTAATATCTTAATTTCATATCTAATTCTTGTGAAGTGAACGGTATAGGACACCGATTATTCATATTTTGCTAGGTGAGAGGGCTGGGAGAGGATGCAATAATACTTTTTTTACTAAATAGCACAACGATTATATGTTAACATCTCATATTATACCTTATAATGTTTTGTGTTTACTTAACATACCATAGGATTTTTTAGACTAAATCTGTATCCAATTTGAGGTATAACTTTCGGACTTGGCTTTGTATCCTTATTGCGTGATAATTAAGATAAAAACGGAAAGTGCAAATTGAAAAAGTTAAAAATACAAATACATGAAATAAAAAAAATCTCCTTAGGTATATAGATGTAAGAGGATTTGACACTTTGTACAGAGTTCTCAAGATTGATTTCAAATATTACAAATTTAATGTTTACGTTCAGTTTTTCTTGGCATAGCACAAACTAATTTGGGTAAAAGCTGATCACTGAATAATAAATTATAGCAGATTGCCAACTTGATTACCAGAACAAAGCATGTAACATCCTTACCTTGAACGAAATTATTAGTATGGTTCGTAGCTGTGCCTGTAAATGTAAAGAATACAGACAAACTATTTTTTGGTTAAATTGAATTATCAGGTGCTGTGGTATCGATTACAAAGGGAAAATTTGTGTTCAGAAACATATTAAACTTGTTTTCAAAGGTAAAACACGTATTTATTTAAGTTATATCGTAGTATTTGGTCTCGTAACGTATTTGTATTTATAATTGAGTTAAAACTGTTCTTATAATTGACCTGTGTTTAACAAATCGTTTTATTTACTTGGGATGATATTCATTTATATCAGTATATTAGTTTCTGTAAGTTTTTGTTATCTTTGTAAATTAGATAAAATAAATACTTCTTTTTTCATTCTTTTATTAAATATTTTTGTTATGGATCTTTCAATGGATAAAAATGCTTGACGAAAATTTGAATTGATAACACTGGTTGTCATATGAATTTAAGCAGGATGAAATGCAATTACGAATAAAAGTGTAATAAAGGGAAATTGGTATTACATACTTTGAGATCCTGGTGATCCAGGTGGTCCTTGTTTGCCAGGTTGACCAGTGTAACCCATTGGACCTGGATGACCCATTGGTCCAGAATGTCCTATTTCTCCTTGAGGTCCTGTAACTCCCCGTAGGCCTTGTGGTCCATGTGCTCCTTTCATTCCTTGTTGGCCCGGACTGCCAGGTGAACCTGCTGGTCCAGGTTCACCCTTTTGACCAGACTGTCCTTGCGGTCCAGGTGAACCATTCATTCCAGGAGTTCCCTCTGGTCCAATTGTACCTCGTGGCCCTTGTGGTCCAGGTGGTCCTGGTGGTCCTATATAAATGATAAATAGACACTCGACTTACCATGAATTGTTCGTGTAATTAATTAGCATCGAGAATGTTCGCAGTGACTGAAGCAAACACAAAGTACTTTATCTGCTGATATGACATCTTACGGTCAAAAACTCTGAAGGTCAGCACAGTTGGATACCGAATCCTGTTTTTGCAACAGCTAGTATAAATCGCTTGTAAATATGTGTAAGCTTGAATTGTTTGTATGAATACTGTAAACCAAACTTTTTTTTATAATACTTTATTTTGCGTTTGTGTTTTTTAAACAGACTTCGAGGCAATTTCTTTTCCTGAGTTTCCATTGTTTTTAATGTTCAATAAGGAAGGATCCAAGTTGTTCATATTTGTGACGATAAATATTTCGTTATTTTTCTACTTGCGATTTTTTTTTTATTTATTTAGAATATTTACGCTACCTTTAAATGAAACGAACTCACCAAGACACTAACTTTGGTGGAGAATAAATTAATGAAGTAGCACTACCTTGCCCAGGCCTATTATAACTTTATATATTTTAGTGTTTAAAATGGATGCTCTGAATTTGCAATTAGCTGACATTAAACATGGAGAAAATGCGGTCTCATTAATTAACGACAAGAAGAATTTTAGCGACAAGATGCGACAAGAAGCGTCAAGAAGCGATAATAATTAAAATTTACCGACAGGAAGACAAATCTAGAAATTTGAAATGATTAACTGTTAGATTTCTTAACGCTCTTTTTGTCCCTTCTTGTCGATAAATTAGTCTTCTTGCCGCTAAAATAATCTTCTTGTCGCTAAATTAGTCTTCTTGTCGCTAAATTAATCTTCTTGTCGCTAAATTAGTCTTCTTGTCGCTAAATAAGTCTTCTTGTCGCTAATTAATCTTATTGTCGCTAAATTAGTCTTCTTGTCGCTTCTTGCCGCTTAATCAGTCTTCTTGTTGATTGTTGTCACTAAATAAGTGTTCTTGTCGCTAATTAGCGAGACCCAAAAAATGGGTTAAAAAAATTTGGAGGAAAAAGTTATTGTTTTTTGGTAAAATAGAAGGCAAAACAACTAAGTAACCCTTTTTATACAAACCTCTAACAACTTTTCCACTTGTCGTTTTTCCTATACCTGAAATGTTCAGATATATTATTACCACAAAAATAGTAAAAATATAGATGGCGGGATATAGTTACGATACTGTTGTCAGGTCATTAAAGATTGCATATTTTGGCGTTAATATTGATTCACTTATAGGGTCTTTGCATCGGCACTAAACACATTTATTTAAAAACCAGTTGTTGGCATGACACGGGTTATGTTCTTCTCATATATGTTATGATGGTATGATACTAAACCCCTAACGGGAAGGATTGTGCCTGATATTCATATGATGAAGACATAATCTTTCAATCAGTTTAATTGATGTCTGGAGCTGGCATGTCAGTTAACTGCTAGTAGTCTGTTGTTATTTATGTATTATTGTCATTTTGTTTATTTTCTTTGGTTACATCTTCTGACATCAGACTCGGACTTCTCTTGAACTGAATTTTAATGTGCGTATTGATGCGTTTACTTTTCTACATTGGCTAGAGGTATAGGGGGAGGGTTGAGATCTCATAAACATGTTTAACCCCGCCGAATTTTTGCGCCTGTCCCAAGTCAGGAGCCTCTAGCCTTTGTTAGTCTTGTATTATTTTTAATTTTAGTTTTTTGTGTACAACTTGGAGTTTAGTATGGCGTTCATTATCACTGAACTAGTATATATATTTGTTTAGGGGCCAGCTGAAGGACGCCTCCGGGTGCGGGAATTACTCGCTGCATTGAAGACCTGTTGGTGACCTTCGGCTGTTGTCTGTTCTATGGTCGGGTTGTTGTCTCTTTGACACATTCCCCATTTCCATTCTCAATTTTATATAAATTCATTGCTAGTCCTATATATACATTACTGGAAATATCATACCCTGCCGCTTGTAGATTTCATAGTGTTCATTTGGAACAGACTCCGTTCACTTCATGTGCTGTGATCAGTTATTTTATTAATATGAGAACAGAGTTCCAATGTCCCCAGCGTTGCACATATTTTATATTTTCAAGGGGCATAACTTTTTTTAAAAAAGTCGATGGGCCACCATTATAAAACTTGTCCGAGATATTGCTGATATTAACCTACAGTATAAGTTTTATAAAAATCTGGCAAGAATTGTACCTGTGAGAGCGCTAACAAGACCAGACGGACGGACGGACACACAGACGGACACACGGGCGGAGAGACGGACGGACGCCCGGTATTTCCATGTCCCCTGCAACGAGTTACGCGGGGGACAATAACCAGATATTTAATCTTATTACGAAAATGTGTTACTCAGACTCAGCAACCAACCAATCAAAACACTGGATTGAGTGTTTTGAGCACAAATTTTGTACTCCGAGTACTGTCTGAGTAAAGTTTTAGGACCGAGAGCTCTGGTCTCTAGGCTTTACAAAAATGGACTGACCATTGTACAATGTTTATGAAACTTTCTAAGTCTACGTTTCGTGCTTCCATATAAATAATAGTCAACCAGAAGGAAAAGAAACTCTATCTGTAAGTAAACGTCATACACAAATTCACTAAATTTACATAGAATTACAGGTATCTGCAGGCCTCATAAAAAGAGTCCGGACAAGTACAATTTAAAAAATATTCTTCTCAGTCACAGAGCTGTTATATCAGCAAATAAAACGAAACGCAAACATCATAGCACTGTATGCACTGGCAAGTTAGTGGCATGGTCATAAAAAGAGATGCCAAATATAGTCAATAAGACAGCGACTAAACGACACAAACAAACCACTATCGATAATATCTATACTTTTACATATGGTCTTCGTAAATTGATAGATATCTTACAATATTTACGCGCTCAATCGACCAGAGTTTGAAATAGTTGCAACAATGAGTAACTCGGAATACCACAGTTCTGCCACGAACTTCACATTTGACAGATTATCTTATTTGATCTTTAACGGACTTTTGGTTTATATAATCATGTCACAAATATGTCATAATATCGATCACAATCATTTTATCCATATACAGACATGAACTAAGCATTTTCAATAGTTTCTTGTACTCTTGTAGCAAATAAAGTAGATTTCTGTGTTTATCATACCTGGCGATCCCCTAGGACCAAGTGGACCTAACATACCCTGTGGCCCTTCTGGTCCCATTGGTCCTCTCTCTCCTTTTGGTCCTTGTAACCCATTTGCGCCTGGTGCGCCTGGTGAACCCAGTGAACCTTTTGGTCCTTGTAACCCATTTGCGCCTGGTGCGCCTGGTGAACCTTTTGGTCCTTGTGCTCCATTAAATCCCGGTTTCCCAGGTAGCCCTTGTGGTCCAGGTTTTCCAAAAGGTCCTAGTGGTCCAGGTTTCCCATGCGGCCCTTGTGGTCCAGGTTTCCCATGCGGCCCTTGTGGTCCAGGTTTTCCAAATGGTCCTAGTGGTCCAGGTTTTCCAACTGCTCCTGGTTTTCCAGCTTCCCCTGAAACAAGTAACGTGTGACTTATATTGTTATTGTTCTCAAGTTATGTATTTCAATTTAACCTTCTTACATCGTCATCTAATGTGTCAAAGAGGCAAAGTCAATGGTCATAACAAAATTACTTAAAAATAAAGTTACCAAACTGGTGCAGAAAAATAAAGTCAAAACATTAAAACAGGAAAAATTTGGCATGATTTAACAATTTATTTTAAAAAAAAACCCACAAAATTTAAAACTAAATTATATTTGTCGAGACATTGTGACAAGCAAATAATATAAAGTCACCTACCTTTATGGCATCCTTATCAATTACTTTATTGCACTTACCTGTGAAACCACGCCAACCTGAAATAGTTATGAGATGAATTGAACAGATCGTACAATTATTTATAATGTTATTATTATAGTTTTCAAAGTTTTTTTTTAATGACAACCTGGGTTTAATTAAGTTAAGTTTACTTTTCTTTCATTGGCTGGTCGTAACTGGCCGTCTTTATAATTGGCAACCAGAAATACGTCTCATTTATCGAAGCCGAAAACCCAAACATCTATTTTTGCATAGGGGTTCGGGTGGTTAAGTCAAATGATTTCTAAGTGATTTCTTTTGTAAACTATTGTTTGTATGTTTGTCTACTTTTCTTGTTGCCATGGTACTGCCTGTCCTTTTTTAGGCTGGTTGTCTCCCTTGCAACATACGGGTATCTCAGTCACTCTTGTTAGAGCCAAACAGGGGACCTATCTAGTACTTTTTTTTCTATGATTTGGAATCACTTAGATTTTTTCTCATTTTTTAACAACAAAATCATATTAAAACTATTCAGTTGTTCACGTGTACTTTGTCAAATATAAATTCATTTAACAGATTTTCCAAAAAAAGTATATTTATTACTATTATGTTGTTAGCAATATGTATTAGAATTGCGATAGAAATTAACATAGAGTAGTCAATATTTTCGTCAACTGAAATGTTCATATAACTACCTCTCCATCCTCTTTGTCCTTCCGGTCCAGGACTACCAGGTGCTCCTGTAAAAACAAAAACAAACGATAGTGGCATTTACGTTGTGTGTGTCTTTTAAATGTGGTTTATAAGCTTGTAAAATGTTTTAATGTGAGTGGGAACGAAAGTGAAATCTATTTTTGATGTACCTTGTCATTTTTTTCACTTTTGACATACTAGAGTGTATGATTGACGCAGCTCTTATATCTATCATCCAAAACGATCAGCCCTTTGAACTATGAGTTCCCACCGCTCTTTAACAACTTCGTATAAAAATTCGGATTTTTAAATTTCTTGACTCGATCATCATTGAGGCTTTTGGTACGAAACGCGCGTATGGCGTACAAATCTATAACCCTAGTAGCTTTGGTGAGTTTTTTTTATCAGTTTTTAATTTAAAGAATAAGAATTTTAACTTATTTTTGTTGAATTTCCGTTCTAATGCTCCAATAGTTGATACGCAGTTCATTATACTCTTTGACATATCAACTTAACGTGATCATACAAGTACAGGTTTCATTCGCCAAATATCTGTATCATGTGGCGTTCATTTTATTAAAGTAATACATTGTGTTATTGAGACATTTTCACGAAGTAACGATTTTTGTTTCGTATTTATAATACCCAAATTGATAAAAATAAAAGAAAATATTTATCATGTACATAAATGTTGGTTATCATATACCAAAGATATAATGGAAAATGGTGCACAATAGTTGCGTACATGACTTAATTCATGATTTTAATAGTAAGTAAATAAAGAGACAAATATACAATAAAATTTAATACATACCTGGCTTTCCCACACCTGGGCGACCTAAAGTAAGAACAAGTGTAATATTAGGGTATGATAATATCTTGGAACCAAGTAATTTAAAGAATCCTGCAGAAACATTCACTTTAGGCACAGGTGAAGTAAAAAAATCCCGAGAAATACACGAGGGTCTGGATGGGGATCGTTCATTTCTTTATCCTTAAGGAAGTTCGCTTCTCAGGTTCAAAATAATAAGCTTTTCTAAACACTAGTTTATATTGATAAGGAATTAATAAAGGAATCAAAAGAGCAAAAAAAATATGTAGGTCAATGTACTTGTTTTCGAGATATTAGCCCCATTGAAATTTTGGCGGGAAAATGTTCTCTCTTGACTTTTCATAGCTTTATCATTGACAAGTTTAAGTTCTCAAAAACTATTAAAATATAATTAAAATTTTATTAGACTTTAACAGATGGCTTATCATTATACATGTAAAAGATTTATAGAAAGAAAAATGGGGGTCAATGGGCAAATTGTTTTAAGGCATTCAAATGGATAAAACCAGAGGAATCCGAAAATCTGACAAAAATTCCAAAACATGACAAGCGAACATCCTTAAGTGTTTTTGGCCACTTTTCTCTATTCTTTAATTTTTTTGCCTATCATTTTCCATTCTTTATATTGAAGCACCTCATCATTTTCTCCTCTAATTTATTTTTTGCCTAATTTTTCTCTATTCGTTTTTTAAAGCACCATATTCCGTTTTTTTGTAAATCCCATTCAGACGTACATACAAATAAACAACTACAAAAACAAAAAAAAATATTGAATATTAATATTTGGGAAAAACCACTAAGTAGTGAAACGTACTTTGAAAGGGTGTGGATATATACTCCTTCGCTATTGGCAAGAATGGTCTACTTATAGCATATTTTACTTCAGTTTTTTTTTATGTACTATTTTAAGATGATATTCCTAAATAAATAATAAATTTTCCATTTGATCATATTAGGCTTTGGGGTACAAGAAAAGTCGTCTGATCTCCAAATTTACCGATTACGTATTTTACACTTTACCCTATCGTGATATTTTGAATGAGTTGGGATTCGATAGAATGGATATGCATGCATAACAAGAGACGTTTACTGTGGTTAAGGCACTCGATCATTACATCCAGTCTAACTCCGTTTTAGAGCGCATGCGATTCTGCAAGTTCTTTTTTATCTTGATATATAAGAATACGGAGATGAGATATGATTGCCAATGAGACAACTATCCACCAAAGTTCAAATAAAGTGGATGTAAGCAATTATAAGCAACCGTACGGCCTTCAACAATGAGAAAAACCCATACCGTATAGTCGGCTATAAAAAGCCCGACATGAAAAATATGAAACAATTCAATTGAGAAAACTAACGGCCTAATTCATAACAAAACAATTAAAGAAAAACAAATATGACAGACATGAACCAACGACAACCATGGAACTACAGGTTCCTGACTTGGGACAGGCACATAAAGAATGTGTGGCGGGGTTAAACATGTTTGTGAGCGTTCAACCCTCCCCTAACCTGGCACAGTGGTGTAACAGCACAACATAAGAACAAACTATAAAATCAGATGAAAAAGGCTGATCTCATCAGATCGATACAAAGCAGAAAAACATCAAACATAAACACCGACCGGACGTGACAGTGTATGTATATTAAAAATTGATTTTTGAGTTTTGATCTCTTACGTAGACCGTAAATAAAAAGTTTTGGTAATTTGGTTATCGTGTTGTCTAACATCTGGCCATTATACATGTATATGAGCAAAGCAAAAATATTATGAATAATTACCTGTTAAACCACGCATTCCTGGTCTTCCTAAAAACGATAAAACATGTAGTTATTAGTATACATAATGGTTTAGGGGCCAACTGAAGCCCGCCTTCGGATGCGGGATTTGCTCTGCTGTGCTGAAAACCCATGGGTGGCCTCGGGCTGTTTTCTGCTCTTTGGTCGGGTTGTTGTCTCTTTGATACATTTCCCGTTTCCACTACCAATTTTATTAAACACATTGAATATTAAATTTTGATTAAAAGGGATGTGGAGTATACGTCAAGGAGACAACAACTAACCAATGAAAAAAATACAGAGAAAACATTTAGAAGGCAACATACGGTGTGCAACAATAGACAGCTGTCTTCAATACCATATAACAAACTACGCACGGTTGCCTATAATTGCTTACATCCACTTCATTTGAAGTTTGGTGGATAGTTGTCTCATTGGCAATCATACCACATCTCCTTACAGAACATTCATATAAAGTACCGTTATGTTACATTTACAAAACAAAAATGAATTATTTTTCCTGAATTGCATTTGATAAAGGTATACATAGGTACAAATGTACAACAATTGACACTAAACGAAATAATAAATTTGAATGTACATGGTTAATTATTCATATCGTTACATATTTAGAATTTAGTATTATTCGACCTCAATAACATTCTTGTAAATTATCACATTGAATATGAATATAATTACCGAAAATACATGCAGTAAAACAAAAATAGAATTAAATCATTATCCTAAGATTTTGTAACACTGGTAAAATAGCACACTTACCGGGAGTACCGTCTTTTCCTGGAAGTCCTGCAAAAGCATTCAATAATACATTATACGTGGCATGATAATTTATTCTCTTTTTCAAGACATAGATTCATAACAACATGTATTCATTTATTTCAAAGTCATAAAATAGTTCATAGTTGTCTGTAACATAATTAATTGATTGATTGGTTAGTGTTTAACGCCACTTACAGCACTGTTACGTTATTTCGTGGCGATTAGTTTTTTATTGGTATACAATCTCGGTTAATTAAGGTTTGATTCGAACGCACCTGCCACGTGCCTGATTCGAACTCACAACCTCAGTGTTGACAAGCTAGTGGTACAGTTGTTTAACTACTTAGACCACTCGGCCACCAAGGCCCCTGTTTGTAACATAATGAACAAATTGATGTACATTATAACTGGTCCCTAATATGTATCGCATAACTAATCGCCGTATTCAAATATCAGAAATTACTTATACTTTTTACTATGTAGAATCAGAATACATGTATCAAACTCTTTTCCTTGTTACTGGTGTTAGTTGGATTCACTTTGTGTTTATTCATGAATATAAGTGTACTGCACACGGTTTGAATATATGTGTCCTGTACACGGGTTAAATATATGTGTACTGCACACGGTTGTCAAATTCGAGAAGACCTATGCAGATTTAGCAATTATTGTGATGCAAAAAGTTGTTTTAAATGCAATAGTACAATATTTTGTTGATATATAAGACACATACTTAATTAAAGTATCAAGGGGACACATGTTCAGTTCGAAGCTCAAGTGAGGGCCAAGTAAAAGGCGGGCAGAGACTTCAAGTTGAAAATAAACGAGTTATTTCACATGTGAGATTATCGGATTTTATCACAATGGGATTCCGAATTTCATATAAATCACCAACATCTGTTACAGTATAATAATATATATAATATGACTTTTTTTTCGATTTCGTTTGCTGAGATTTTTTTGCTGACATCTGGTTTGCTTTGAGATCTCGTGAGCTTTGATCTGGTAAAATGGTAAAATTTCCTACTCACCAGGAGCCCCACCTCTCCCTGGAAGTTCTAGAATAAGAGTTCTCGGTTCATTATAAGAATCATGATATTCACCAATTCAAAGCGTAAAATCAAAATTAAATGTACAGTTTACATTCACAAAGTTTAAAAGAATAACAGAATTGAGAATAGAAACTGGGGATGTGTCAAAGAGACAACAACCCGACCAAAGAGCAGAAAACAGCCCAATGCCACAAACGAGTCTTTAACGCAGCGAGGAAATCCCGCACCTGTATGTTTTTTTTTATCAATCCAAAACAGTTCAATCACATCTTTCTTTCGGTAGGTTTTTTTCACTAACTGTTTATATTAGCATCCACTATTAAATGATGGGTCCTGTATTCTTTAAAAACTGCAGCTGTTAATGAAAACTTGTACTTTTTGTATTAACGATAAACTTAAGCGATAATGTAAACCTATGACTGTTTGTATTGCACATCAGTGTCCTCAAATGGACATATGGACGAAGAGGTAATTATATGAAAGTATAATGGGATTTTAGTGTGAACGGTTTATGTTTATGTTTAGTTGGAATACAAATTGAGAATGTTACTTGAAAACGTGTTTTACAGAATGCTGTAATTACTTTTTCAGTCTTACAATGTATGATAATTATATTAAATATATTCACGTTTTTTTTCTCTCTTGATTTGATCTTGTTGTAGATTTTCTGACTATGTTCAGAGAAACACTAAATCTGGACCAAAAACGAACGGACGCACAGACCTGAAATCATGATGCACCTCTACTATCGTATGCAGGGCATAGCAAATCATTTTATTCTACTGATTAAATTATATTCACTCCGTCAGTAGCGGTGCTGAATCGAGAAACGTGTTATAACTCAATACATACCCTGTTTTCCAACGCCCGGACGACCTGAAACACAATGGTAACGTATAAATAAGGGTCTAAATGGGGTTTACAGAATAGAGAATAATGATCAAAACGTGCAGAATAAAGAGCAAAAGATATAAAGAATAGAGAAAAATAGGCCAAAAAAAGGAAGAATAGAGGATGATGGGGTGCTAAAATATAAAGAATAGAAAATAACAGGCAAAATTTATAAATATAGAGAAAAATGGCTTAAGGTTCATCATAACAAATGGACAAAAATGATTGTGTTTAGACCTTAAAAACTGCTCTGAGTACAGACCTGGCATCCACTAGATATATAAAAATTAAATGCATTTTGTGTTTCAGAAAGTTAAAATATTTTTTTGGATTTTGACGGGCATTTTTTTTCGTTCCTGCAGAAGGTGTAAAAATAAACTAAGTTGGGATACAACTTTGAGATGCTCCCACTCAGGTAACAACTGTATTGTATTGTATTGATTGTCCTAAGGCTTGATTGGCATGGTCAATAGATAGACAATAGATAACTACACAACTATAGGTGAGTTAAAGAGTGTAACTGAATGGACAGTATCAAATGCAATTCAGGTGTTTGTTTATTTTTACACCTTCTGCAGGAACGAAAAAAAAAATGCCCATCAAAATCCAGAAAAGATTTTAACTTTCTGAAACACAAAATGCATTTAACTTTTATATATATAGTGGATGCCAGGCCTTAAAACTTTTCCAACTGCACCGGTTAGTCTGTACTCAAAGTAGTTTTTGAGGTGTAAATACAGCCATTTTTTTCCATTTGTTATGATGAACCTAAAAAATAAAGAATACAGAATTGAAGGACCCCCATCCAGACGCTCATAATGCAAAATTACCCTTAAATCGTTCATAACTCGAAATTGACCACCTGTTAAGAATCACGACATCATTTGACATTTGTTGTCAATAACGTCATGTCTACCAATTTACCGTAAAGAAATAGAACAGCTAACTGCTACTTTTAATTTGATCATCGATAATTAATAATGAGATTTTAGAGGACAATTGTAAAAAGGTTTAAACTTGCTTACTGTTCGGTGTGAGCCAAGGCTCCGTGTTGAAGACCGTACTGTGACCTATAATGGTTTACTTTTATAAATTTTGACTTGGATGGAGAGTTGTCTCATTGGCACTCGTACCACATCTTCTTATATCTATTAAAGGTGTGTATAAAATTTTTTTTTTTTGCCAGAGAACATTCTTAACAACTTATGGCTAAACATTAGTGTACATTTGTTTACATTTCATTGCACATCATTATGACGAATTCCAATATACTGGGACAGGAAAATTGCGTTCGTTTAACCTCGAATGCGTTACATTCCTTTCATAAGCTAGTATGTTAAATTATATTTTTATTTTTTTTGCTGGCCAAGATTCGAAATAAACTTTTCTATAACTGAATGTCAGAAAATTTGTCCAACTTCTCCCGATAAACTGCAGATTACGTAACCATTTTACATATGTTTATAGATTGATTTTTAAAGATATACGCTCAAATTGAATAAAGATGAATATAGGATGAAAATGTATCATAAATTTAGTCCACTCCATATATTGTGTGTTTGCGTCATAGTTGTAATCGTCCTGAACATGTATGAAATATTTACCACTGGACGCCAAGCTAACAAAAATCAATCAATCAATGCATTGGTCTGAGCTGTTTTGACGAAAAAGTATAAATATGCTTTATGAGGATGTGGAAGGGGGTTGTCATTTCTGTATTCTTTTAATTTTATGTCATTTTTTTCTACTCTTAGATTATAAAAACAAGAGGCTCTCAAAGAGCCTGAATCGCTCACCTGTATTTCAGAGGAGAAGATTTTTAAATGTTAGCAAACTGTGAACAAATTGTGTAAAATTGTTTTTAAAGGGAAATAACTCCTTAAGGGGTCAATTGACAATTTTGGTCATATTAACTTTTTTGTAGATCTTACTTTGCTGAACATTATTGCTGCTTACAGTTTATATATATCTATAATAATATTCAAAATAATAACAAAAAACTGCAAAATTTTGTTAAAACTACCAATTCGGTGGCGGCAACCTAACAATGGGTTGTTCGATTCGTCTGATAATTTCAGGGCCGATAGATCTTGACCAATTGAACAATTTTAGCCCATGTCACATTTGCTCTAAAAGCTTTAGTTTTTGAGATATAAGCCAAAAACTGCATTTGACCCCTATGTTCTATTTTTAGCCATGGCGGCCATGTTTGTCGATGGATCAAAACTTCGGAAACAATTTATAAACTAGATACCGTAAGGAACATTCAGTTAAAGTTTGAAGGTATTTTGCCCAGTAGTTTCAGAGGAGAAGATTTCTGAAATAGTTAATGACGACAGACGACGACAGACGACAACAGACGACGACAACAGACGACGACAGACGACGGACGACGACGGACGCCAAGTGATGGCACCAGCTCACATGGGGTCCTTCGGGCCCCGGTGAGCTAACTAGGGTAAAACGCCATTGAAAAATACAAGTATATGAAAAATGCAAAATGTCAGTAGTTCACTATAATACTTCATTATACTTTCTGCAGTTTCTCACTTAAAGTACGGTACGAAGAAAAGCAGTTTGTTAAAACTATGGCATGAAGATTATTCAACATGTATCAAAAAACAGGGGAGAATCACAAAATTTATAGATTAACAAAAATGAAACTTATATTTTTTGAAAAATAAACAAGAATGATATTACGTAATTTTGGAAGGTAAGCCTTACGCACCTGTCATATTTCATGGTATCGTCAGATCATGTTTTCGTACGTCATATGAATTCGTACTATGCATGCATTTTCAATGGACATTATGACGTCACAGTGCATTCTTAATAGCACGAAAAACCCATGAGATGAGGATAAGTGTATTCTAGTCCATTCGTTTGTAAAAGTAAAACATTTCCATGCTATTTCTACCAATTTGCTATGCATAAAAGCATGGGTCAATTGATTCATTTGATACTACTAAAATAGTTCTTAATTTGTTCCTTTGTAAACTTTTTTTCTGTTTTACCCAATCTTGATTAAGATAAATACCTGTTAAACCACGCATGCCTGGTCTTCCTAAAAATAATAAAACGGAATCGTAAATGGACAATAATGGTTTGAGCACTGAAATACGTCTCATGTCTTTAAATGATGCTTTGAACATTAAATATTGAAAAAGGAAAATAATTTATCAAAGAGATAATATTATTCGATCCCCGATCCATTTTCACTACATAAATTAATCTTCCGATAAATCCGGTGCCTAATGTACAAAACAATACACGAAAAATAAATATGATTTGCTGCAACAAATGACAACTTTTGATTCACAGATTTCTGACCTCTGAACAAGCACATACAAAATATGGAGGTGTTAAACATGTTTGCAGGAACTCAAACCTTCCCCTGACCTTGGATGGTTAAAATTCATTCAAAGAAAATCACAATTCATACCAAATGCTTTTACATCCTTCTCTGTGTCAACAATATCAGTCTTTTTTCGTCTTGTATTTTCGAGTTAATGGTTTCTCATATTGCTAAACAGATTTATAATGCATTGATGATGTTCGAGCTTTTCTCGCTGTGATATCTATTTGATCTTATTTATATTTCAGATTTTTAAATGATGAATTTAATTTAATTACAGTATTGCTTACCATCTACTCCTTTGGGTCCAGCAGGCCCAGGAGACCCCACAGTTCCTGCAGGTCCCATTGGTCCTGGTGGTCCTGGTGGTCCAGCAAGTCCTGGTTGACTAGCAGCGTTAGATGCGTCTCCTGGAACACCTTAAAGTGAATATATAACAGGCAATACAGAGATAGGTTTAATAATTAAAAACAAAAAACAGTTTCTAAAATGGCCAATATTGTAAAGAAGGATGCTAAAATGATTATATATTCAATCTGAGATCAATATTGATTTTGATATTAAATTTCAAAGAAGAAATGTTGCCAAGCAAAGTTTTGATAAATAAAGTTCAAATATCTAAAAAAAAAAACCAACATATCTGCATCCTGTTCAATCCATAATCACGTGTATGATTCTTTTTTCGTGTTTTTTTATCGATTTTATCTACAATTCCATCCCTCATTTTGTTAGTTATTGGTTGAAATATTGGTTATTAACATTCGTATGAAAACCAAGAGAATAGCAAATTTAAAAAAAAAACGTTTGGACATATTTCTTATAAAAAGCAAAGTAAAAAAAAACAATGCATAGACACATGTATAAAAAAAAATCATCAAAGCTAACAAGCTTATATATAATTTTGTAAGCCAGACGCGCGTTTCGTCTACAAAAGACTCATCAGTGACGCTCGAATAAAAAAAAAATTAAAAGGCCAAATTAAGAACTAAGTTGAAAAGCATTGAGGGCCAAAAATTCCGAAAGGTTTTGCCAAATACAGCTAAGATAATCTATAACTGGGGTTATATTAGTATATAAAAAGCTAAAATACAAAAAAAAATGGTGAGGATAAATGCGAAGAATATAGGATCTGTAGATGGATTTATTTGAAAATGTTTTCTAATCAGGTGATAGAACAAGAAACAATAAATTTAAAATATTTTTAGTATAACAAATACTATATATTATCAGCTTTTTGTTTAAAAAAAAACAAGTAGTAAAAGAAGTTATCTTAGTCAATGTATATGTTCAAAAGTCTAAGACGTTTTGACATGGTTATGATATAAGTAACATAATCCCTTTACAAGAAAAGGCATCCCGAGAATCAACATATTTTATACATAATTTATTATGACGTAAAATACCTATAAAAAGTGCGATTAAACATGTTTCAAATTTGATAATCTTCCGTACAATAAAAAAAATTATCTCAATTAAAAACAATTTAATTGTAAGATACAATGTACGATTTACCACCCGTTACAAATTCACGAGAAAGATGTATCGATTACATTGTATATAGTTTGTCTAAATTGATTATATTTCATTTATTATGTTGTTGCCGATTATATTACATGTTGTCTTAAGATACTATATACATGTAGTTATCGATGATATGATATATGGTAAGTCGTTTTCACTGATATTACTTAAAGCATGTAGTTATCGACTATATTGCTCATTGTGTGTAGTTATCGATTTAATTGCAATTTAGTATGTAGCTATCGATAATATTGCTAATGGTATGTAGTAATCGATTAAATTACTTTAAGTATGTAGTTACCGATTATAGTGAATATAATATGAAGTTATCGATTAAAGTGTATTTAGTATGTAGCTATCGATTATTTTGCTAATAGTATGTAGTTAAGGATTATTTTGCTTTAGTATATAGTTGTCAATAATATTTCTTATAGTTTGTAACTATCGATAATAGTGTATTAATTTGTTATTATCGATAAAATTGCTTATAGTATGTTATAATCAATAATTTTGCTTATAGACTGTAGTTATCGATGATATTGCTTATAGTATATCGTTATCGTTTATATTATTTATAGTATGTAATTATCGATTAAAGTGAATATAGTTGTAGTTATCGATTTTAATTGTTTATAGTATGTAGTTATCGATTACAATGTATTTAGTTTGTAGTTATCGATAAAGTGCATGCAGTATGTAGTTATCGATTGTAGTGTATATAGTATGTAGTTGTTGATTATAGTGTATTAAGTATGTAGTTATCGATTATAGTGTATTTAATATTTAGTAATCAAATATAATGTATATGGTATGTAGTTATCGATTATAGTGTGTTAAGTATTAAGTTTAGTTATCGATTATAGTGTGTTTAGTATCTAGTTATTAAATATAATTTATATGGTATTTTGTTATCGATTTTAGTGTGTTTAGTATGCAATTATCGAAAATATTGCTTACAGTATGTAGATATCGATTAAATTGATATAGTATGTAGTTGTCTATTATAGTGTATTTAGTATGTAGTTATCCATTTTATTAAATGTAGTATGTAGTTATATACATGTATATTACCATCATGCAAGATATATGTTTACTATATAAAAAAATATATTTTTAAACATCATATCAGACCTGGCTTTCCTGGACGACCTGAAAAATCCGTATCTTTATAAAGAAAATGTTTTACATACTCAAATTGATTTGTATGGTCAGTTTGTTTAATTCTTATTATAATTTACATAGTCTGGACTAAGTTGCAGTTGGAATGTAGTAACAAAAATAACAATTAATGTGCTCGTCTCTACAACTGTATGTTAGGATATCTCAAAATTTAAAAAAATGTAAATATCTAAATATCCTCAAAAAAAACTTAAGATATTGTTCTATGTACTATATACGATTTGTTATATCAACATAAATGTCGTGAAAAAGTAGCATCATTGATATACAATGTTTTCCAACCATACAAAGCCTTTCATTACAAAGCATGTTATTTCTCCATATTGTGGGTACAACAGTTTCAGTGATTTAACCTATTATATAATTTGATTTCGAACGAATTCAGAATAACTTAGAAATCAATTTGCCTATTGAATGACAGTTGGTTTATAATAAATAATAGTTGGCTATATTAAAGAATTTTTCTCATGATGTGCTCTAAATAGGTGTTGCACTCACCCGTAAGTCCTCTCATTCCTGGTCTTCCTGTAATATATTGTTTAAGGTTTACGATATAATTATTTGATGACGTATGGTTAAATATCACATATTACATACTATGGTACCTTCCCTTAATATTTATAATATCTTATGTGTGATGACGTCAATATGGTGATATGACGTCAATATGGTGATATGACATAAGTTTATGCAGAAAAACGTCGACACGGTTATTTTTAAACATCGGCGTTTTGAAAATAAACAAATATAAATATGATTCTATTTTATCTAAGCTGAACTTTATTGACTGAATTCCCCATAACAACAATTCTAATAAAATTTCAAAAATATAAAATATGACGATAGTTATAACCCAAGCTCGGGTTAAAATGTTTAATACATGTAAAAGACAGCTTCTGGAGAAACTGAAAAACAAACTAATTTTTGTTTTTCTTGTTTGAAATGTTAAAAATTTGTCATCTTATGACATTTTGTATCTAACAATACGAAATGACATTTGCTAATTGTTATTTGAGGAGGACGCAGTGGAAAAATCGGTAAAACTAAAATATCAACATGATTTCTGAAATAAAAAGTTATAGTTTTTAAGTATATATCAATGTAAGTTATTAATTAATTATATACCTTTAAGACCAGCAGGTCCATCTTTTCCAGGTGGACCTTGCGGTCCAGATAATCCATCTTTTCCAGGCTTTCCTAAGGAAAAAATCAAATAAGTTTTCATACTATAACAAAGCTCGTTTGACAATAAAATGTATTCGAAATTCCAATTAATTATAGTGCGATAAGTATGTCTTGTAGTTGAGTCTTCATAACCATTTATTCTTATTTTGATCAATACATTTCTTTTAAGTGTTATTTTGAGAAACCTGGTATCTCTTCTGTTGTATGAATGTCAAGTACTTCATGATTAAATATATTATCTTTCTAAGCTGGGGTTGTAAACAACTTATTTGACATGTTAGAAGACCAACTTATTTTTCGTCTGGAGAAAGCTATGGTCAACTGCATTGTTGAACTAGGGATGTTAATGTCTTGACAATAAAGTACTCGAAAACTTGCAAAGTCAACATCATCACACTTGAGTATTAACATATGTACAGCGTATATAAATGATCTCTAAAGGAAAAAAAAACAACAATCACTGACGTTTATTTGTGATCACTTTGGAATCATCAAACAATAGTCGGAATAATCGGATGGAATTACTTATATCAGCTTTACCATTTACACCCAATCATGTCAGTTAGTTATTGAAATTGATATCAGAATTTATTCGGATAATCCCTTTCTTATTCAAACCATTTTGACATTATTTTCCGGTTTAAAGATTTTGTTTTACAAGGAAACATTGTGTATTCATTAACAGGACATCAGGGCACTTCAATAAACAATACATACATGTTTTTTATGCAAATGCCAACTTTAGTTGTACATTAAGTTAATAACCTGAAAGTTCTGAATATTCATGAAATACTTGCTATCGTCTGTTTAGCAAAAACAATCAACGGATGTGTAATTCAGTATATAAACAACACAATTATGAGAGGGTGATAGAGCAGATTGTTTCACCAAGGAAACATTGTCAATCAATGCAAAGCCATGGTTGACAATGGTTTTTCGAGGGGTAGTGATCTTATCGATCACCCTCTCAGCTATTTGTTATTCAATTTATTATATAGAATGTTCTATTTTAACTGCTTTTTAAACTAATAAACTATAAAGTGTACAATCGATCAAGCGTATCCATGATGGGTAATTGAGTATAATCAATAGGACAGAGTAAATTATCTCCCTTGTATTAAAGATCAACATCTGGTATTTTAACGTGGAGTATAACAAACAAAAGTATCGTAGCATACATAACACAAAAACATATAATTTCAAATAGTCTTTATGAAGTTTGTCTACAAGATTAAAGTCTCCATTTTTGCATTTTCAAAGGTCTCAAGATACAAATAGTTAATGCATAACTTGGTCAAGTCAGTGAAACCTTATACAAAGTCTGATCCTTTAAAACTTCTAGAGTCTGCCTTAATAACAGATACTCGAAAACGTTGACATTCTCTAAGTTTAATATTGCATATGTTCAAAGTGTAAATTCTTTACTTTATTACTCTAAAAATAGACGAAGATATAAAACTGTGGCGCACAAAAAACCTCCAGTTAAAATATTAAGATATACTAAATGAGCTGCGTCGGATTGAAATCGACTTATGCAAGTGCACGTGCATGAACATGTATAAGACTTTGATTGATTTTGGAATATTCAAATACGAAACAAAATTTGAATTTTGGTCGGTTTTGTAGATTTTTGTATAACAGCTCAATCTTCAAACAGTTACAGACTTTCCATAGAGATTTTTTTAACCCGTAATAGGTTACCAGATATATTGATATTGAGTTGCATAAAGTCGATTTCTATCCGACGCAAATCACAATTTGATTAAATATTAAATGACAGATTGTTGATAACATACAATTTTTTTTAGGATGCAATGGATGTATCATACCATGAACATGTTTTACCCTATGAGTATTTCACATTGAACATCATGCAGACAGTATATTATTAGCGAATTATATAATCGAACTATTCAGACATACAAAGCATGAATATATCTGGCAATATATAAACCATTTGTCTTAGACGACAGCTTCATTCTTACGAATACTTGTACTAATAATGTTACCTGGTCTCCCTGGAAGAATCGTTTTAAAGCAATTATTTTAAAAAAAATTACTGATTCAATATTTTATAGAGAAATATAGATTATAACCCAGCAAAATAAAAAGATGCACTACGAGAGAAAAATAAACCAACTCACATGTTCCCCTTATATCAAATATTAAAGTCCTCTAACTCGATAACAACATATCTTAAAATAATAAAATTTGAAAGGTTATAGCTTATATTAATTGTATCTGTATGGTTGTAGGAAGATTTTCATCGGGTCAGGGTAAAGCAAACATGGCTTACATTAGAATACTGTTGGCTTATCAATAAACGTTACGTAGTTTATAAAATAGTATTATTCTAAGTTAAAAATTTGAAGCATCCTTCCAGTCAGCTATGAGGTAGTTTTGGAATTAACAACTGTTTCTTGTAATTATGTCTGTGTATGTGTTGTTTTGATTAAATGTTATGTATTGTACCTAGTTGTGTGGAGAGGGCTTACCTTACGTAGGCTTGGTCTGTTGACATTTCAATTCAGTTGATTTTAATAAAATATTGTTTAAACTAAAACGTAAACTAACTACGCAACCAAACATGAACCTTATAGTTTCAACTTTTATTGTTTACTAACCTGTTAGTCCTCTCATACCGGGCATACCTAGAAATAAAAAAAGGGTAAAGTAATTCCTCATAAACAAGTATAAAATCGGATCTGTATCCAAGGCTGATGTATAATTCTCAAACGTGTGGCAAACGTAATGAAGCATTTGTGCTTCTAATGTATCGCGATCCGTATCATTGTTTTGTTATACCAATCTGCTCATGCGCTTGCTTAAACAGTATACTCTATTTCATGTTATTGTTATCATAAGTAATATCTCTAATTATTATTAGTAGTAGTAGTAATAGTAGTATTACAATCATTTTCTAATAACTGTTCAAGAGAAGGGAACAAAAAATATTTTACCCTTAGGTCCTGGCGGTCCGGGAGGTCCAATTGGTCCTGGTTGTCCATCTTTACCTGGTTGTCCTTAAAAGATCATCACTTAGTCACATTATCATTAAAAATAAAGCAGTAAAATGAATATCAGATATGAAAACATTATGTTGAATGAAGTAGGTTATAAAAAAACAAGATTATCATTAAGAACATGATATTTGTTCATCTTTCAAATATGTAACTTAATCATGGTAAAAAAAAATGCCGAATATAGTTTATGACGATTCTGTAATAGCACAATATATATATGTTTAGTACAAGCCTTTTTTCTTCATTTAGAGTGATTTTTCGATGTAATCAACATTATTTGTTGATGATATCTCGTTAATAACAAATTTTGCTAAAGGACTGTATTTTTAAGTTTTGTAGTTGGAAAAAGCAGTCAAGTACAACAGTCGACAACATTTCAACCGCCTTAATGATGTGCTATTTAAATGGTCATTTTATATAACGTTTATTGCACTAATTTTGAATAGCCAAGATTAATCCTCAAATGGAAGGCGGATTTATATAAGGTTTTCTTTTGTCCGAATCCTTATGTTTTGGTTGAATATTTGTCATATGTGCTCCTTTGGAAAAATAAAGTTTTGTTTAAAATAAAACTTAAAAAACTAAATTCCAATATTACGACGTTTAAACGTCACAATTTTCACAGGAAGTTATTATAATTCAGCAGGTTTGATTTAAAGAAAAGTTAATGATATGACCATGAAAACCACCAAAAAGTATGTCGCTAAAGCATATAGCTGATTATTTAGAATGTAGGCATGCAGAAAACATAATAAAAGATACATTTTGTTAGGTCACATGTTCTCGCACTAAAACCTAAGCATAACAATTCATTCACGACTTGTATATTAGTATAAATTTAAAAATTGAAATAATTTTAAAGAACTAAAATAAGTAAAGCTATCAGTGTAACTACTTAGCAGGATTATATCATAATTACAATATTACGGCAATATATTATTATTCTAGTTACAGCATGAGCATATATATGATTAGATAATTTTACTAAGCAGTTGAATTTACCTGACTTTCCTGGCCTGCCTTTAAATGTAAATGAAAATGTATAATGATACACAATTAACTAGAATATGTTTCCACAGAACATCATTCCCTGCTCGCAATATTTTATTTCCATGTTTAGTAAACACTAAAATCAGGATCAAAAAACGTAAATTGCATAAAATTGAAGAAGATCAAACCATATTGAACATGTGTATTGGGTTTTATGTTGATGTGACTTAAAGTTAAAAGTAAACCAGCTAGGCCAAAAATTAAACTTTTACTGGACGGACGGAATAAGAAAGGACGCATATACAAAAAAACATAGTGCCCCTCTACTATCGTAGTGAGCGGGGTATACAAATAGGAGAAATAACAGAAGTAGCATTATGTACTAGTATACTTCGGTTGTCAGAAGATCGAGATTTTTTTAGTCTAAATATGGAAAGCCATACGATAATTAGATTTTTGTACGAGTTTAGTTGAATATATAACGTTGACAAATATGGCAATTAAGCAGTTATATGTATGTATGAGTAGAGAATTCAGAGCTTTTGCCAAATAATCTTGTGTTATTTTATTATGAACATCCAAAATTTAAGTTTTATTATGTATATTCGCAATTCAATTTTTTTATTATATCAATTGTTTTTTTATTTCAATTTGAATATTATACAGCATTTTTAAAATTTTTTTTTTACAAAATACATTAAAGTTTCAAATCTGATTTCTTAGATATTACATGTATTCCCAATACTATTTTTGTGATAAATATATGATTGCATGAATTGAATTGCTATTACTTACCAGTTAATCCTCTCATTCCAGGCATACCTACAAAAAATGAAACAGCACGTTATAAATTTCATGCGACCGAAGCGCTTTCCTGGATTTATCTTCATCAGAGATGCTCATGGTCGAATATTTGAAAGCTAAGGGTGTATAAGAACCGAAACAGTTGAAGAGCTATATGACCAAAAAGAACATAAAAAAATTTGCCAAATCCATCTAAAGTCAACTTTGCATGCGGGAGTTGAAACCTAAGTTTCTTTTTTATTTCAAAATTTATAAACGGACATTTTTTTATAAAGGTTTAGTTATAAATCATGTCAGTACAAATATTATTTAATGTTATAACATTCTCTTCATTTTTTGTTTTTTCGTATATTGTTATGTGTTTATCGTTTATTGTTTGTTTATGAATAAAGCCATAGGTTTTCTTGTTTAAATTATTTTACATTTTCATATGTCAGGGCCTTTTATATATGACTATACTGTATGGGGTTTACTTATTGTTGATTGTCGTACGTGACCTATTTTTACTTATATTCACATCATTTATACTTTGGTGGATAGTTGTCCTTTTGGCAATCATACAGCATCCCCTTTTTGACTCTTATTATGTGTTTTAATTATGAAATGTCAGATATCGCATTTCGCTATGAATGTAAAGACAATTGTCGGACCAATATTATGTTTTGCGATTATAATGATAGTCACTAAACGCGAATATTATGTTATTTACATATTACAATAATACAGAAGTATTTAGTACTATAACCGATAAATAATATTATATTTTATGGTTGTATTTGGCACATCTTTTTGGAATTTTTATCTTGCACTGATCTGTAAGTTCATGTTTGATTTGGCATTCCAACACCATTGATGAGTCTTAAGTAGACGAAACACGCGTCTCGCGTAACATCTTATTAGGCTCGTATCTTCTATTACTTTTAATGATTGTAACCTAAACTTATACCTACAAAGTTTTACAAGTAATGGATTGGTTTATAAAGCATACTTGTACTAGATAATCCTTTTTTATGCAGCAAAAATCATACCATTTTTGCCACTAGGTCCCTGTGGACCAAGTAATCCTGGTGGTCCTAATGGTCCTTTAGGTCCGGCTATTCCATCTTTACCCGGTGATCCTAAAGTGTATAGACATCTTTTGCATGAGGTATTGACAATTTGCATAAATAATAAGAAGTTTTAGTACTCCAAAATTATACTACTATTTTAACAACATAATGTTACAAGATAGGAACTATTCTTCAAGTTCAAAGTACAGTTTTGAGCTTTTAATATGATGTACCACTAATGTACCATACTTATTTTGTACCTGTTTAGAAAATAAATATAACTGCACTTGCAGTAAAAAAAGATTCACATTATAATTACTAATCTTTTAGGAAGAACTATATACTTATTTTCTATTTATAGCACTCCACAAATGAAGTACCAAAACGGTACAGTTACATGTGCCTCAAAAATCCGTTTGTAAATAATACATTACTGCTACATTATATAGGTACAATTGCAGTTCTTTGGAGTAAAAGTAATAAAGAAGTACATACTAAAGTAGCTGCGTAGTAGGTGCTTTTTCACCAGGCTACAAACACGTGATTTGATCTTTTGATCTATTTACAGACAGATAGTAGTACATTTATATACCTGGTTTCCCTGCTGGCCCTACCGATCCAACCTTTCCATCCGCACCGGGATCACCTAAAAATATGTTTGAGAGTAATTAAAAAAAATTCGAATGAAAAAAAATATATATGCTATCACAATTTCAGCAAATATGCAGCATTATAATACTTTATTACTAAAACAAAGTTTTTCCTGTGATTGACTAGGAAACCTAGCATATTTTGTTTCAATTGAAAAGCCGAAATATTGTTCATACCTGATATGAACCTTACATAATTCTGACAGTAATGCGTGGTATAGCTAGATGAAAGTAGCTTGAATATTTACGTCAAATTACACGTAATGGAGAACGACGTAAGCTTTTTAAACCACCAATATCTTTTTTTAAATATCCTAAAAGGTACTTTTGTTTTAATCAGATCCGTTTTATAATTTGTGAAGATATAATAATCGAATGATTTCAGAACTATGTCAATTTAATATATTATTTCTTAAGGTTCATCATAACCTTTTGGCTCATATGGGCCTATTTGTACCACAAATTTTACTCTAAGTACAGACAAACCTGTGTACCTGGAAAAGTTTTAAGGCATGGCAGGAACTAGATAATTAAATTTTAAATGCCTCTACGTTTCAGAAAATTATAACTTTGCTGGATTTTGCTATTCATTTTTTTTTCATTCCTACAGAAGGTGCCAAAATAAACTTAGTTAGGAAAGAGGTTTGAGAAGCTCCCCTCATATAATAAATGTTGTGAGTAGTATTGATTTATGTGGACAATAGATGGACAATAGGCATCTGCAAACAATAGGTGATTTAAACTGTGTAACTGAGTGAACCGCATAAAATGAAACTCATGTGTTTGTTTATTTTGCTATCTTCTGCAGACAGGAAAAAACTGCACATCAAAATCCAGGTAAGGTTTTAATTTTCTGAAACATAAAATGCATTTGAAATTTAATTATCTAGGTCCTGCCATGTCTTAAAACGTGCCTATATGCATCAGTTTGTCTGTACTCATAGTAGATTTTGTTGTGTAAACACGGCCATATTGTTCAATTCCTTTTGATGAACCTTAATTGCATAGCTGTTAAATTAATCTGGGACAGGTACAATTAATGAAGTATCACATATTACCTTATAATCGCCGCTAACTTGTTTTAATGGCAATTTCTTCCATGTGAGGACAATACAGCTTTTTCAAAATATTTACCTTTTATTCCTGGTAAACCAGGTTTCCCATCCGCTCCTGTTTTTCCTGTAGTAGAAGACAAATTATCAACTTTTAAAAACAATCTGAAAATCTGATAGAGTACATATAAATATTTTCCTGTTGTAATTGTATAAAAACCCTTTACACTAGCATTCCCCATTCTTAACTTAAAAGACAGATTGGAAGAATCAGTCTATCGTTATATCAATAAAAAGATGTTTAACTATGATACAAACATCTTGTTTAAGGAATGGATTGATCAACTTTTGTAAAAAAAAAACACTTTGATTCACAAAAAAATATTCTCTGAAACTGACATCTTCAAGATTGTTTTATTGTCAACCTATCTGTTACGTTTGGAATAAAATTGAGAATGGAAATGGGGAATGTGTCAAAGAGATCTCAACCCGACCATAGAGCAGACAACAGCCGAAGGCCACCAATGGGTCTTCAATGCAGCGAGAAACTTCCGCACCCGAAGGCGTCCTTCAGCTGGCCCCTAAACAAATATGTATACTAGTTCAGTGATAATGGACGTCATACTAAACTCCAAATTATACACAAGAAACTAAAATTAAAAATGATACAAGACTAACAAAGACCAGAGGCTCCTGAATTGGGACAGGCGCAAAAATGCGGCGGGGTTAAACATGTTTTTTGAGATCTCAACCCTCCCCCTATACCTCTAGCCAATGTAGAAAAAAACAAACGCAAAACAGTACGCACAGTAAAAATCAGTTTAAGAGAAGTCCGAGTCCGATGTCAGGATAGGAAACAAAAGAAAATAAACAAGAAGACTTTTTTCTAACAAACAATCAGCATTCCTATGGGAACATTTCCTTTTCTTGCCGAATTCAGACTTCAAGGAAGAATGACAAAAAGTAGCAATATCCTTTAACTTAACGTTCTGCGTTATAGCGGATGCCCTCTCAGTAAAAATTAGATTGGGGCATATGTTGAAATTATCAATTCCATCTACCTCTAAATAACGGAAACCACATACACAGTGGATTACCTCATATTTTACTTTCAGCTAGACATTGACAATGACGGTCGGTTCAGAATAACACTTTACGACAAAAGGGATAAATTTTGATTCCCCATTGACAACTGTTCTTAAAATTTTAGAATATGATATAAACTTTCATTAAAAGGACAAAATACGTGAAGAAAGTATCCTGATTTGTTGGTTCATTTAAGGTTTGTTGACACGCGATGAGATTGGTATCGACGTTTTTACACAAATGGCAATCTTAACAAACAACTAATTCGTAATCTTAACAAACAATAAATTCATTAAATGATTAATCTGAATAAACTAATGTTAATTGATTTCAGACTTTATGTAAAAATGAATCATTTAGTATCTTTTCCAAAAGTATTGTAATAATAAATCAATCAAAATTTAACCAGATTTTAAGAGAAATTAGAATTTATCCTAACTATAATACCTACAAAAATGTTAAAATGATCTAAGAGCATGACACGAAAGCATAAATTCGTATTTTCCCTCACTGATCGAGAAAATAACATAGGCTTGAGTTTTCAACAGTAACTGTAACATATAAATAGGCATGTTTCCAGTCTTGATGCTTGTTAGTTGATTGCCGTTGTTCTTTATCGTGTTTGTTTTTACCTTTTAATGAATTGATGTTGATTGTATATGTTTAGAAGTCATTTTAAGCCTTGTTTCTTTGAAAACATTTAACAATCACTTGGTGGTGAACGTTTCATTTCCGAGGGAATCACAAGCCCAGTAGTCAGCACTTTTCCGTGGACACGAGCTATCATAGATAACTTGTTTGTGTTAATCAATTTACTGTTTTTTAAATGTTAAATTATTCAAAACACTAAGGTTAATGTACTCCAGGGAACATATTGCCTTGGACGTATTGTGCACCACTTTGAGGAATGTTCGGTTTGAATACTCCACAACTTCGTATTTGATTTGGATTGGACTGTTTTGATTCGAGTGCCAAGTATAAGTCTTTTGTAGACGAACAGCTCTGGCGTACACAGTTATTTTGATGAGTTTTAAGCATTTCTAAACTGGTTGGCCAATCGTTGAAGACTCTATTATAAACGTTTTGTTGCTGATTGACATGCTCTATTGTTTTCTCATGACATTACATCAAATATCCAATGTTGTACCTGGTAGTTTACCTATTGATATTATGTCATTATATTGCACGGGGGGGGGTCTCTTCCTATATGAAGGTATATTCATATGTGCCGCTGGAATGGGTCCCTTTTTTGATACGTCAAATATATCAATGGGGTGCAATTTTACCGAGGAAATATATCAATTGGTAGTAATTGACCAATTGTGATATATCAATGGGTTATAATTTTTCAGTTTGTTGTGCAACGATCTTATAGTATATTATATAATTGAAAATTGAAAAGTGTTTTTAATATATAACAAGATTGTATATGCATATAGGTACTATTTGAGCTGATAAATATATGAATGGGTTATGATTTCGCTGTGAAATATATGTATAGGTAAGGATTTCACAATTATTCAATATATGAATGGGGGGGAGGGGGGTTTAAATCCCAGCTGCACAACAGACCACCCCTCACCCCCCCCCCCCCCCCCACCCCCCGTGTTATATTGGCGTAACCTTTTTGCAATTTAAACAAAGCATGCAAAATGAAAAGATTCTTACCAGGATCTCCCTTCGGTCCTGGTGTTGCTCCTCCGGTACCTAAAATGTGATCACATGTTAGTTATAATTTATTGACGACTGATTAATAATCCGTTTCTTTTCGAATGTTTTGGTAAATGTTTAAATACCAAGACTAATTTAAAAAGTTTGTACTTCAAATATCAAATTCTTGTTATCTGTTCTTTCTTATAGAAATTTAATAGCATCTGATCTAGGATCAATGTCATTATTGTCGATTTTTGATATTTTTATGCTTACTTTCTATTAAGAATGTTCAAAGCTTCGGACATCTGTAATGCCACTTAATGTTAAACAAGCAACAATTAATCAACCAGTGATATGTAAATGTTGTTGCAACATAAAAATATTCTCATTATTTCATATCTTACTATTCAATATAAATATATATATATAGAGAGAGAGAGGTCTATAAAAAGGACCAACCAGCAAATTTACTATGTACCGGGTCGTCTAGAATAGACGATACTGTGCAGATAAGGAAAAAATTATATAAGTCTAGAGATTTGCACAACGGTACTAATATAAGATGGTATTATACGAAAATGTTGTATATATATAATGTCTTTCAAGTATGTCTATCGTCCTACTATTAATATTATTGTAATCATTATATATACCTGGTTTTCCTTGAGGACCTTCCGGACCAATGGGACCTTTAGGACCTGAAATTAATTACAAGAGAGAGTAGAGAAAATTCTTTCCTTGGGTATAACATGTGAGTGTTTTGTCTTGCCAGTCGACTCATTGAATACTAGCATTAAATGACTGATTGTGCAGATTTTTGTGATAGGTTTTTGCAAACAACTAAGATACCTTGAATTTCCGATGAAATGTTGTTCATATCTCTCATTTTGAGATAAATTTGATTTAACATTTTTACAATAAATGCTTTTTTTGTAACGAATGCACGTAAATTCGAAGAAAAACCTCAAAATTGCCTTATTATTACACTATATACCCTTTAACCTTTCTCTAAAACTAATCTATTGATATTTTTTTTAAATACTGTATGGTTGCCAGATCATTCAACTGTTTATGTTATGAAACAATCGATCCCAAAAATAGATGAGACAAATACGTTTTACTTAGATTCTAATTTCTAGTTCAGCCTATTCATATGCATTTTTTTATATAAAAAATCTGTTGCATCATTGTACTTTTAATCCATTGGTAGGAATTATTAAGAAAACAGCTTAAACAAGAATTTGAAAGGAAGAATAGAATGTAAAAGTAAGTAAGCTCATATAAAAAAAAATATGCTAAACCATCTACAAATAACCAATGGGGTTTTTCATTGGTGGTACAATAAGGACTGGAAAAGAATGAGTGCCAAATAAAGAAAGAAAAAAAAACGATATGACAACAAAATTCCGGACAATTAAATGACATCTGGTTCTGTTTTGTCGAATGGATATCCAATCATAAAGTTTTCCACTGCCAGAATCTAACAGACTTTTATAATATTTTTTCATGGTAAACTAGTGACATACAGCTCCCGTCATAAATATTAAATATATACATATTATAAGAATTAGATACACATTTGAGGACGTTAGTCTGCATGGGTGTATCTAATTTACGCCAAAATTATTGTCAATGCAGAATGAAAGTTTTCAATAATTTAGGAAGGGGGTCTTTCAGCGATTTGACCATATGTAATTAAAAAGCATGATAAATGAAGGGTATCCAATTTCATTTAAGAACATCTAGGTCTAAATATATAAAGCTTTTGTATATATTTAAATATCTTAAGTGTGAACACATGTTTATGTTGTATTGTAATCTATTCAACCATTCAAAGTAGATTGAATTTCCTATAAACCATCGGCATAAAAAATGGATAAAAAAGATAAAAGAAAAAAGGACGGGGTATCTCTGTGACCTTTTTTTATTTTCTTTATATAACAGCAGATTTCTCTTTATTGTACAGATGATAGAACTGGATGCAGAACATACTAAGAAAAGTTGTATCCTGGATGTATGCAAAACATCAATCAATCAAATCTTACACGGAACAAAAAAATATTATGGACTTTTATTGCATAACTTGTAATTTATTTATAAAAAGTGCATAAACAAAGTGATGTGTAATTTGAAACATGACAGTTTCATTAATTTTAAACAACATAAAGAAACTGCCCGTAAACAAAGCAATTAGCATAACTTTAGTTAAATAAATAATTGATAATTATTATATTAATAATGATATGATAAATTACATAATTTGCAATGATTTATTACACGATGTTGCTATATATCTTACTTAGTAAGATGTTAATGTGAGGAAGAAAATAGTGGTTTTATCTTATTCATTTTACATTAATTCCGTTACAGAATATTAGGGAAACATTTACCTTTTTCTTAATTTTAATCATTTTCGATAAGAATAAAAAAAATGATACATTGTTTTTAAACATTTTCAAGTAAAGCTCATCAAACAACCTAGTGGTTGGGATCTTAACCTTATTTCTCAATTCCATTTGAACCAATTTCCCGTACTAGTTCCAAGGCATTTTATTTCTACGACTAACAATATTATTCTGTGGCGCTGATAACGGCTAATCACACATTAGCAACATTTGGATTTTTTTTTTTCAAAAAGGACATTTTTCCTCAAGCGGAATGTAATAACTTAGCAAAAAAGTATTTAAAAAATACCGAATCCAAGGTAAAATCAAAAAGGGAAAAGTCCATGACAACTGACAAAATCAAACGTTAGACTTTATCAACCAATGCAACGGATGGGAAAAAACTGTCATATCCTTGATTTGGTACATACATTTTCCGCAGAAAACGGTGGGTTAAACTTGATTTTATAGCCAGCTAAACCTTCTACTTGAATGGCAGTTGTTTATAGTTCCATTATATTGACAAGGATTCTACTCGTTGAAAAGTGAAGACGTAAGAAAGAAACATTGTAATACAGTACAAATATTTGATATTTTTAAATATATCACACTGTTGCAAGATTACCATTCCCTCAACTCTGTAAATGAACCATAAGCTAATCATAATAATAAAAATACAACAGGTGCAGATAATATTGCATTTTCTGTACTAATCTTGATTGTAATGTACTTTTGATATCTTTAGTTATACCAACGTAAATGAGGCTAAGTCAGATCCTAATTATATCTACAGTCAGGTCTGCTTTTGACAGGTCATCGTGTTAAGCACATTTTATACAAGACCTTGCACTTTTGTTATTTCAGTGCAGACATGTCTTTTTAAATGTCGATGCGACGTTGTCAGCCTAATCATAATTTTTTTTTTGCTTTAAATGACATTTTCTTATGGTTGTGGCATGTTAACTATTTCTGGCATGAAGAGATATTTCTAAAGTATCACACTGTACGGAGTGTGATACGAAAAAGTGATACAAAAACTGCGTTAATTTGATTGGCTTATCCAGCATCATGAGAGATATTACGACACTTCAATTGGTTATTCGTTAGGTCACTGATAACTTTCAAAGGTTAAGGAGATGCACATTTCGTCCATGCCAACGGTTATATGTGACTTATTTGATGATATACAAGACACTCACACTTTTCACCTAAAAATCGTCTTTCTGACAAATTTTATCACATTCTGAAGCGTGCAAAAAGTTTTAAAATGTCTGATGTTGAAGTATGACGCCGAAACAGGACAGATGACGTCATCCTAGTATGTGCAAAAGATAACATAAACAATTCTCAGATTTTTTAATTTAACACAATAATTATAAGAGTGTTGACCATAAGAGAAGTAGGTTTAACAACTCGTGAGAATTGGATATCGCTTGATATCAACTCTAGTTATTTAATTTGAATAGTAATAATAAACTCACCAAAGGCTCGTTTATTATTATATTGAAATTAAAGAACTCGAGTGTATATCAAGCGATATTCAATTCTCACTCGTAATGAAACCTATAAATTTCAAAGTTTCGGTCATATTGTATCTGAACACTAGCATAACCCCAATTTATTTCGTACAAACATGTACATCTTTTACAATGTTAAACGTGATTGTAGGACAACCATGTTGGGTAAGGTTTCTTTTTTACTATTTTTAAATATAAATGATATAAAATTTCAGTAATTTTGCAATTGTCTTTAAGTGCAAGGTAATTAAAATCTTTTCCTAGATATGTAAAATTAAATAAGTAAGACAACGTTTAGAAGAAAAAAAACAATGCTGATGCCTGGCGAACAAAGGTTTTGTGAACACCTTAATGATGTTATTGGATATATTCATAATAATTTATTTCATTTTTGAATTCAAAGGTCTAAAATCTTCTATTAATGATGATATTTGACAGGTAAACATTAAAGATCCGAATAATTATTATATTCTTGTTAATGCACAGACATTAATTTGCATTTTTTTTTAATTATAAATATTCATGGAATGTCAGTTTTATTGTTATTTATGTTGTAAATGCTAATAGTATCAAATGTTAATGTGTCAGTTATTTATAAAAAATGATTTTACATCACTAGAACAAGTTGCATAAATTAATGTAGATTAATTGTATCTAGCATAAAAACCACCCATGTAAAGCAGCATGACTTTCTACATGACCTGTAGTCATGTTAGTAAACTTTCAGGCTGAATATTGCTTTTTATCCCTTTCTTTGTAACGTTGTGTAACTAATAGCAACTATAAACAGACTATTTGTTTATTCTTCGATGCATTATACTGTAATTTTTAGTGATCAACTGTTAAAAGGAACATAAAGTTCTAAAGTAAGTTAAATGATCCGTTGAAGAACCAGAATGAAAAAACTCATAGAAACGCGAGTATTCACTGATCATTTAACGGATTAACTTTACAACACATGACTCTGAAAACTTAAAGCAGACATATCAAAATCGCTGTGTTTAAATCGTTTACTGGATATAAAGAATCTTTTACACAGACAAATGTTCAAATAAAAAAGTATAAATTTAACGAAAAGAGTATATTCTAAATCTAACAAGAAATCGTTAAAAACGTCGAGGGTCAAATTTGTCCGAGGCAATTGGAAAATTAATTTCAGTTGTGTTGCGAAAATTATAATATAAAGTGGTCATAATAAAATGAATTAATTATAAACGTCGTTAAGAAATACATTTGCATATCAACTCTATCAAGAGATTTTTGTTCTCATTAGTATTAAAAGCACATTGTTATTCAATTATAAATTCTAAAATCTATTTGCAAACACAGCCCTGTCTCGCAGCTGGCCAGACGATGCGACTTATTTCATCCTGTACATTATACACTGATTACAGTCATTGCAACAAAATAATTCCACTATTGTTCATATTTAACAAACATAAGATGTAATAGTGTTGCAAAGATGTAAGCATTAGCCTTAGCTTTGCGACAAAGGTTGCTAGTGACCTCATTTAAGTGAAATCATAAAATGATGAACATGGGACGATATGCCTGGGCTTCCGGTCATAAAACATGTAATATTTTCGAGTACTATTATCGTACTCAGGCTCAGAAATCAACAAAAAAAATACTGTATTTAACGTTTCGAGCACAAATTCTTTACTCTGGGTAATGAATTGCCAGATTTTTAATAGAAATTTGCTTATTTCAAGAACCTTTTTAACTGAATTACCAAACACAACATAAATTGCAAACAGTTAGTAGAAGGAAGATGGAAACAAAAACAAAAACCTTTCGGTTCGAATATTATTTTTGGGAAAAGGTTATCTTTCAATATGTGAAAGAAACAGCAATGTTTTTGTAGTAATAAATTTGCAGTTTATACAATGTAAAATGAAAAGGAATTATTGTAAACTAAAATAGCAAACTCTCTAGCGAGGAAGCAGGCTGAAAAAAATAATTCTGGATATTGTGGATTTTTTTTTATTACAGTTAATTCTAAGAACCAGCTAGGTCCCATATTGTACATTCTTCTTTTATAAAAAGCTATAATTGTAGAAATGGTTAGTTGTATCTATTTATAACCTTTTCATGCTCTGCACATTGTTTTAAAAAAGCCCCTGGATGAAATCTAATAGACTTACACATGATGAAAACAATTGGTAGATATCAGACTCATTGAAGTAAAAGCATATTTACCTGGTAAACACATTTTCGTTGTACAATACGTATGGACAACGTCAGCCTAGAAAACACCAAAGGGAAAGTATAAGAAAAGTATAAGAAAAGCACACAAAAACAGGAACACAAAATGTATGATACAATATAAGAGACATGAAATAACTCGAGTTATGTTGAACACATTTCTTAATTAAGCTTTTACGCGAGGGAACTGTATCAAATACATATTTTCCTTTAGAGAACTGTAATAAGAACTGAAAACATGTCAATTTTACTTTTGGGATTTGTATTTTAAGAATATACTATTGATACCGCTGTTGGTGGACTATCAGTTCCCGAGGGTATCATCAGCTTGGAAATCAGTATTTTGGTACTGACATGATTTATAACTAACCTTTCTTTAAATTGTCCGTTTATAAGTTCAGAAGGTATTAAGAACTTAATTTTCCTTAGACAAAGTTGAACCTAAATGGATTTGGCTATTATTTTTTTTAATCCTTTTGGTTATATAGCTTTTCAACTGTTTCAGTTCTTATACATCCTTGGCTTTCAAATATTTGACTGTCAGCGTTCTTTATGAAGGTAACTCCAGAATAGCGCTTCGAACGCATGAAATTTATAAAGTGTTGTTTTCATTTTTGTAATAAGACGCTTGTCATGAGCAAATTATAGTTATACGCAAATTAGCAATAGTTTTATTCATCAACATGAAACCCCTCATCTTTACTCCGACCGCGCGAGACCCTCATGGGTAGTCTAGATCTTTAAACACCCCCTAGTAGTACCCTTTCTGAGCTAATGTGTATTATTGTATTATGCAACATGCAAATGATACTCATTTTTCAGGGTTACCAGTCAGTGTCTACCTATTTTATTTCGCGTTTTAAATGATTTATAACAAACGATAATACGTTTCCGATGATTTATAAAAAACGATAATACGCTTCCGATGATTTATAGCAAACGATTATACGTTTCCAATGATTTATAACAAACGATAATATGTTTCGATGATTTATATCAAACGATAATAGGTTTCCGATGATTTATAACGACCGATAATATGTGTCCTATGATTTATAACAAACGATAATACGTTTCCGATGATTTATAACAAACGATAAAACGTTTCCGATGATTTATAACAGACGATAATATGTTTCCGATACGGAAGTGACTTTTCGAGCAGATATTGCTTATCCTCCCGGAGCACCTTCGTACAACCCTGGTTTGAGCTTTATTGTTGATGCTTAATCTTTAACTTATTGTGGAGTATATCATGGACATTTTTTACCTTAGGTTATAGTGTTGTATGTTTTCCTCGATTTATAATTTTTTTTGTGGCCCTTTGATATTTTCTCCCAATCTTTTAATGAGTCTTTTGACAATTTAAGATATGTTAGATGTTTACAAATATTATGTCAATGAAACTGCTAAACTTCTAGATAAATAACAAAAATAATATTGTGCAGTTTGCACAGCTCTCAATCGTAGCTTTGACACTAAATTATCGAACAGCAACAAATAACATACAACGGTCGAATATCAAATAATTAAACTTTTATCGACCCTCCTTTGCCTCGACGTGTTGTTGTAAGGTTAAGTTTTTATGTCGCCTTATAACGTCCAGTCTTCGTTGCTCAATGTTAATCGATAGGCTTGACAGAATTCCACAAAACTCATAAATGCTTCTATTGGACTTAGACGTGATACAGCTTCCATTCTAATTTTTCGATCACAGTGACTTTTTGGGTTTCTCATACCAAAACATAGCGTAAGTCATTTCTGCTTACATCATTTTGAGACGGCAGACAAATATTACTTATTCTGCAAGAATCGCGCATTTTATTGATAAATCGTCAAACACATCATCGTTCCTTAATATGACACAATGCTTGGCAGCAATAATTGCACGGTTACATTGATAATTTGAAAATGTGTTGCTGTATGGACAACTGTCTCAAATTCCTTCTTCCAAGATTATATCCTTCGACATAACAGACTTACCTGAGCATCAATAATAGCTTGTATTGCCCACTCTAAATCTCCGGGACTTGTAGACCGTTTCTTGACTTCCTTCAATTTGTCTCTTAATTTAGTAACATTTGCTATATACTTTGCTAACTCGTTTGATGACAGCTTTATGTCTAAATTTGAATCTGGAATGGATCTCTGAAACGATATAAAATTGTTATTAATTGATAATATCTGTTTCCGTTCATAAGGTTCATAAGAATTTTATTTATCAATTATATGATATCGCCAAATAAAGACTGGGAGGGTAAAAGGAGCTACGTCAATGAACCAGATGCTACCGTTAAGGAGCTGGATTGAAAAAGGAGAACACAATATGCAATGACTACTTGAGAATCTCTATTGACATGTTACCCCTATGTTCTATGTTTAGCCATGCTGGCCATGTCGGTTGGTAAGGTGGGATAATCGGACAATTTTTAAAACGAGTTACTCCAATGATGAATGTAACCAAGTTTTTTCCTATTGACCTTGTAGTTTCAGAGGAGAAGATTTCTTATAACGACAGACACCAGTTGATGCGAATAGTTCACTTGACCTTTTGCAAGCCAAGTTCATAATAGATCTTTTACATATATTAAAGCATGTTTGGAAAATAACGTTGAACTTCATGTCAGTGCAAATAGTTTAATATAAATGGCCCAACAGAATTGACATTATTTGACATTAATGAAACATTAATTCTCAGCTTTCGTCTTAAATTTATATGTGAAAAATCATTGTTCTTGTTTAAAGATATTTAAAGGGAAACGATATGCTCCTCACAATACGAAATATCAAAATATTTTTTTGGAATTTCAGCTTATTTGTTTTCTAAAAGCTAACAACTTCTAAAAATTCACGTATAATCAGGTACAAAAAAATGTAAGTTTGAATTTCATATCTCAACTATTCAAGGATTTCGAACCATATACACAAATAAAATTCACGTCTGGACGTGTGTGTATGTGATGTTTATTGTGTTAACCTCTCGTTAATATTTTAAATCCATATCACCGTCATACAAAGTATACAAATAATATTTAGCTGTTCTTATTCATACTTGTATTCCATTGTGTAGAAAACTAATGCATTTGACATAAGTCAAACACACAAGGAAAAATTCAATGGACATTGACTTCAGGCTAACTATGTGTTTTTACCTTCCATTCTTTTTCGAGCTAAATGCTTAAATGTCAATGTATTAAAACTCAATTTCAGGATAATTGTTATTCAATGGTTTTCGTTGGTTGTTGGTCGTCTGACATATTTGTTTTTTCGTTAATCGTTTTAGCATAAATCAGGCTGTTGGTTTTTTCTTTGAAATTGTTTCACATTTTGTCATTGCAAGGTGTTTTTTTTTACATTTGTAGCATACAAAATGGAATGGCTTTTGCTCATTGTTGAAGGCTGTAAGGTAGCCTATAGTTGTTAACAGTCTCGTTGTTCGGTTCCTTGTGGATAGCTGTCTCAGGGGCAAGCATACCACATCTCCTTATTTGAAATATAATATCATTTTAAGAGAAATGTATATGGTTTTTAAAAATGGAGAGATAACGTGACATTTTCCGGAAATTTATACATGATATCAATTCATCTTTTCACCTGTGTTTTACTGATGACCACCGATAACGTTATTAGATTAAAATTTTTACTTTCTTCGATTTCTAATGGATTTCCCAACCCTTAACTGTATGCAAAATTTCATTTAAAAATCCCGTTGCTTGCCAATTTGTGTGCATTTTTTTATGATCTTTTTAGATATTGTTCTAAACATTTATGATAACTCCATTAGAAGAGGGCTTTGATTAATATTTCCATTAAACTCTATAAATGTAGAAACACATAAATACATAATAAAGGGAGACTGTTTTATGTTAGGTATATGTCGTGTTTTTGTCTGTCAAACTGTTCTTAATAAAAAGTCAGATATGTTAAATTATCTGAAGAAATCAAAATTATTTTTTGTTAAACTTCGTTTCCGTTATTTAGATTGGAATGGTCCCAATCAATTATACTGCAAATTTTCGTTCAAATTTGGTAACATTTTGTGCGTTGCCTTAAAGGCACAAAAGTACACAAATATTAAGGTTATTATTCAGAAGATCCGCATAATAGAATGTTGTAATGGACACTTAGGGAAAACTGTGCAAGTGTTCTTGAGAAGTTGTGGTTTACCTTTGTAACATAATAAACAAATCATATTCTTAATTAATAATATCGTTTAATTTATGACTTTTTTACAAATTTAATACATTACCTCGTGACTAGCAAACTGCAAATGTTTTTTCTGCATGTCGACCAGAGATTTTTTGTATTAGTAAAACTGGGCGTAAATATTTATACGCTTGGCCATTTGAGATCCCTTTTTATCAGTGTCTAGAGAGTTATTACGGATGAAAAAGAACTAAAGATTTGAAAAATTCTACTTCATGATCATGTTAATTAACTTAAAGGGTAAATTTGTTTTAACGCACACTTAAGATTTAAGTTTAAAAAAATACAGTCATTTTACAGTTATGTTTACGGGAATTACAGCTGTTTTCAATATTTTTCCCGCCAATTGTTATATTTTGACAAATGAACGATTCAGGTAGATTTGTTTCGGCCTTCGGCTTAACATTTACACATAGATATAGAGAATAAAAAGACAGAGAAGATAACAAAAGGGTAATTGAAAATACGTTGAAAAAACACAGACATCACTTTTGCCAAAAATAAAAATGACAAAAGACAAACAACAATTAAAAACCAATTGTTCTCTAACCCAACAGTTGAAAGTCTTTTCACCCTTATGATAAGACAATATGCATGAAAAATTGTACGTTTAGTTGTAGAAGATAGCTTATCTCACAATGATTTCTAAAATACAAAGGTTATGTTACTTTTTCAATTAAATAAAGGAGATAATTAGTCAATTCTGGTTAAATTAAAGTCACTTCAGGTGTCATATCATCCTTTCCTCTGTGCTGATTCCAAAAACTTATGGTTTCTGTAAATTTAGGATTAAATGAAGAGAGAATCTTGCTACTTCCGGTTTGATATGATTGGTTACTTCACACTGATTCCAGAAAAATATGGTTCTTGATAATTCTACACAAAAGAAGTGTAAAAAATAGTTACTTCTGGTTGACATAAGGTCACTTCCGGTTGACATTTTTAAGGTCATATATCTCCCTACATATGCAAAAAACCATGGCTTTATCATGTATCAATATGAAGTTATAGAAAAGGTAAAAATTCCCAACCTCAAATTTACCTGTGACCTTGACCTACATTTCAAGATCATAAGGCAAGGGCCTCAAACCAAAAGACCCTAGGTCTCTACTTTGTATTGTTTGTGAGTTATATCATCATGCAGCTTATTTAAAAAAATTCAGGGTAGGAAACTCCTATAAGTTGTCGTCGTACCATTAAGATCCGAAAGTGTTGCAGTTACGAAATGTCGCAACTAACAAGTTGGAAAAAAAATTGTCAATATCTTTTACGGTTTCTTGTTAGTAGCGAAAGTCAAAATGTAGAACATGACCTTGACCTTTGACCTCATTTTCATTCTGTTGGACCTATGATCTCAAATCAAAACACCCTAGGTATCTTTAGCTAAAATTTTACAAGTTAGACTTACATACATGTATTACTTATGTTCAATATATCAAGGGAAATAACTCTCATATGGAGTCTCCGGTTCGCTTCGTTCAAAATTATTCTCTATATCATGAGGAGATAACGAGTATATTTTTCTCGGTTTCTTTTACGTTTGCTAAGGAGTGGGAATAACAATAAAAACAATGTTTGGGAAGATAACTCTTACAATAAAAGTATTCGGTTAAAAAGGGTGTGTTTCAAAAGCGAAAAAACTGTTCGATATCACGTGCCAAATATCTAAGTGAGATCTTGCAAAACCACAATACAGCGCTAGAAAAAAGTGGCGGAAGAAGAAATAAAAAATAATCAGAACAAAATCAAAAAGTCTTTCCTGGGAAAAGTGGAAACAACTTCTAACAAAACATGACACAGGTCTAGCAACACGAACCCCACTAAAAACCTGGCGGCAAATTCCGGTTCTCCGGAAAGGAACGACCTTCTGGTACAGGTATGTTTTCTTTTGCTTTTTGTACATTTCTTGATTTTCCAGTGTTAAATACATGGAGACATCTTTGTACACGACTTAATGTTTCCCCCTGTTTGTTTGTAAACGTACTTTTATAGAAAAACCATCTGTTTCCACAGGTTTCTTTATGAAAATTTTCAGAGATCTGTACGTTGAGCAAAATAACAATAAATCAGACGTAGCTAGAAAAGTAAATACATGTCCAAAGAAAACTGACCTTATGAGGTGACATTTGAATTAAGGTAAACAATGGATAGATTTTATTACATTGGGACAAGAAGAGAGGGCTGGACAATACAGGTTATGCTTAATAAAGATGACCTTTATATGTTCAACTGTACTTAATTTTATTTACGATCATTGAATCAATGTTGAATCATCATCTTATAAGTCATTGACCTCAGCATTGACCATAGATAATTACAATCATTTTCCTAAATTTAAACAATCTAGGTTTGCAATTTTTCAATGCAAAGTTTAACATGGTTTTGGCTTGACATTTGTCTAAATATAATTATAATTGAGGTACCGAGCAGTGTGTTTTCATTGGGCAAGAATATTACCAATTCTACATGGAGTCTCGTGTGACTATTCAAATAAGAGACATACAACTTAAAATATTTCTAGCTGAATTAAGGCATACATTTAGAAATATATCGAGTATTAAACTGTGGTAATGTTAAACGATATAAAATCGAACAGACCTACAAAAGTCTAGATTGAAAAATGCACTTCTGAATGAGATTTGAAAAGAGCTGAAAGCATATGTTATAAACGTTTGTATCTCGTTAAATATGGTGCGTATGGCATCGACCACAAGTAAATAAATAAGTGTGAAAACAAATAAAGTATTTCAATAGTAATATCTAAAACAAAATAGCCGGAAGATATCAAAGGGAGAATCAAAGGGAGAATCAAAGCACATAAATCGAAGACAGACAAACAAATTATGGGGGAAAAACGACGAAAAAACAAACAAGAACTCCCCAAATCGCCATGTAAAAAACTAGTAAATAATGAGCAATACAAGCCCAGCCGATTGTTTTGATGATCTCGTGTGCTTCGGAAGGGTTAGCATAATAATCCTGCTACGTAAAGGAATATTATGAAGGTATCAGCATTCAATAGTTTTGCACGATTTCGTGTTTATTTCAAAGTTGAAATCTTCGAACAAAAGACAACTTACCGACGATCTGTGAGAGGTGTGAGACGACCCTGGTAAACATGTTTCTTCAAGTGTTCTAACTCGGTTCTTCAGTAACGAAATATCATGAAACTGAATATATGCCGTTATTCCGAACGAAATCACAATTATAAAAAAGGATATGGATCCGGCAAAAATCACGGAACGGATTCCACCGTCCTTGATATCTCCAGATTCGTGCATTTATAATTGTCTATCCCATCGAAATCATTAGATCGAAGCCATCAAACTCAGAAAAAATTCCATACGGCTAAAATAAATGATATTAAGAGGAAAACATAATGGGATGGTCTAATAGTATTTAATATTCAGTCCACGTGGTGTATGCACAAGTGTAATTAATTAAACACTTGTCTCTCCTAATTAGCATTAAAGTTAAAGTCGTGCCTTCGTGTCATTTGTCTTCAAATTTTCACCACTATAAGCCTTAAAAATACAGTTCACAAATACAATGGGTGTATGCATATACATTTTATGTGTCCAAGAATTATACTATTTTAAGCAGAAAATAATTCATTGAATAAATTTTCAATTTATAAATAGATAATGATTAATCTTTTGAACTATATTAAAGGAACAAAGGAAATTGGAATATTTTTCTTGTTATTGTCATGAAAAAAAGCAATGAGTGTTGATGTTGACTATAGACAAAACGTGTCAACATCTGGTTTTTGGACACACCCATAGAGAATATAGAAATGATAGTTAGAGAAACAAAGTAAATTCAAGATTGTTGACTCTGGACCTCCGGCCATTGATATATAATTAAAAACAATAATAATGATTTCTTAGTACAAAATAAAGAGATGTTATTAATGCAATTTAATGCATTTTTACAACAAATTAGATTACTTTTACCTTTCAAATCGCTATCGTTTTGTTCATTTGGTGATTAGATTGATACTATGTATTTTATGATCAATATTTGATAGTCCAAATTAAGTCCTTAAACAAAGTGTGAATCCGAAAGGGAAGATGTTGGTCAATTTTGATCGGTAGTTGGTGTTCAATGCCATTTTCGGCACTCTTTGTTATATTCGGGTTGCCATTTTTTTTAGGAGGAAGCCGGAGAGAAAAACCACCGACCTTCGACAAAAAAATGGTAATCCTAGTCAATTCCGATTAGAGTTGAATACACCAGCCACGAGCGGGGTACAAACTCACAAAAACCCCGAACTCACAACATCAGTGTTGGAACTTTTGTCCAAGTTATTTTTGGCTTTGTCAATTTGAAGCTGTGTGTGCAACGTCCAGTGGTTTATATATCTTGCATATTCAGAACGCGGACAAATTAGAAAACATTCACACAATGGGTTTAAGAATAAAGGTGAGGAATATATGGAAAATCACTGGAAAAAGGGATATATACATGCTTGCTGTATAGAGGAAGAAATTCGACTTTGTAGAATGTAGAATAGAATACCATACAAGGACACCTTAAAGAGTTCATACAAAAGTTCTTTTAAATAATTCAAACTTGGATCTCGTTCCTATTCTGATAGGATGTACATTGAGGTGTCCTACTGGGCCATGCGGACTTTTTCTTAGCATTTTTTTTTACCACCAGGAAAATAAAGTCTCCAGGAAAACATCTTTGTACTGCAGTAAAACCTTGGGATCCAATATGAATAACAACAAAAGAATAAATAATTGATCAATTTGACGCTGTCAGATGCGTATCCAGAATTTTCGAATATGGAGGAGGAGTAGGCCAAGTAAAAAGTCCATGCAATAACCTCAGTTTGCCCGGCCCTCTGCCTACCCCCCTCCCCCCCCCCCCCCCCCCCTTTTAATAAGCGTCTGACTGTCCTACTGTGTCATTGGTTTTGGCACCTAAACATGTAATTACTATACTTATCCATTGCATGTTCTCTTCTTTCCAAGTTACTAAAAGTTATTGTTCTTATATGAGTACATCGAACATATTTTGTCATCAATGAATTTTTGAATGTTATGTTTTAAAGTTAATAAATCTTTGAGGGAATATGGTAGTCTATCGTTTTTATTAGACAAAAGATAATTAACAACACATATGTATAATTAAAAATAATATGTCGTTACATGTTTCGAAAATTAATATTAAACATGATCAAACTTCATGTCAGATTTCATAACCTTTGAACATATGTCACATTTTGACATAAAATATTAATATGTCATACACCTCTTGTCACCACAGAATAACTATATTTTTAATTACATGTATAAGGTATTTATTTTTGTGCATGAATACAGTTTTGTCTTTCCGTTAATCTCTAAACCAATCTAACATAAAAATTAAAACTTAAATCTTATAAAATCAAGACAGGAAGTACTTTTCATTATGACATAAATACATCAACATGTCATACAACTCTTGTCGGCACAGAATAACTTCTTTTAATTACATGTACAATGTATTTATTTTGGTGCATGATTATTTCCGTTAATCTCTGAACCAAATTTACATAGAAATTTCATCTTAAATCTAACAGAACCTAGAAAGGAAGTACTTTTCATTATGACATAAAAATATCAACATTTCATATAACTATTGTCACAACAGAATAATCACTTCTAATTATTTGTGTACACGAAATATTTCCGCTAATCTCTAAACCAAACTAACTTAAAAATTAAAAATTAAATCTACAGAATCAAGTAAGAAAGGAAGTATTTTCATTATGACATAAACATATCAACATGTCATTTACCTATTGTCACCACAGAATAAGTGCTTTTAGTTTCAAGGTATATATTTTTGTACATGAATATTTCCGTTAATCTCTAAACAAAACTTTCATAACAATTAAAATCTAAAAGGAAGTACTTTTCATCAGTAAGGTCACGTTGGTCTTAACTGTAGAAGTTTTGATACATACATGTATGTTCAAAATTGATTGAATTTACGTAGCACGAAAGATAAGAAAAGACATTTTGGTATTAAAAATTTCTCATTTAAAACATGAGAGTTCTCAGTTATACGTTGACATTTCTCACTTCCATGTTAACATATCTCACTGCTAAATTCGCTTTCTTAGATCAAAAATAACATTTCTTGATTCCAGGGTTGACATTTCTCAGTTCCTAGTTAGAAGTGCGAAATTTCAACTTGGAACTCGGAAATGTCAACTTTGCACTGGGAAATGTCAAGTTGAAAGTGAGGAATTTCAAAAATGTCAACTTTGGAGTATGAAGTAAGGGACGACATCAAAAGTTCAATGTAGGATAAAAAAAACTTAATTCAAATAGTTTGGGGGTAGGGGGTAAAAATCGCTGCAAGTTTTGTTATCCGTTCAAACGCTTTATCGACCGTGAATTTTGAATGATATGAAACAATATACAGATCAACACAGATTGTTTTGGTCCACACGGCATGGTGGCATTCTAAAAACAAACTATTAATTTTCTAAGAATTGGGTTTATTATTCAGTTATTAAAATGAAAACTGAAATATAAATTCAATTAATAAAATTTGAAAGTTTAACTTATACAGAATTTTTTGAGAAAGCAGAAAAATATGACAGTGGTCAACAAACATTGAATAGAAATTGCATGATAGATCATATCATTATCACATTCACTACCTTCATTTGGGATTGTGCTTTTCTCCCTCGCCTCAGTTGGCACAAATACACTGCCCTGTCATCACCATTCATTTCAATGGACAAGCTATATATTTTACATGAATCAATGAACTGTTTCGGTCCCAGTGCTTAAAATCCCTCGATCCTTTATGGGTTGATTTGGCATACATAAATAAAATACAAAAATAAGTAAGCAATGAACGAGGTTGTAAAATGTGATATGCATGTATGCTTTTTTGTGCTTCTTTATTAAATAATTACTTGTTTTTGTGGTGATTAAGATTGTGACATGGTGTTGACTACTGTACCCCTATTTTGACATTATTGCCTTTAAAATTTATGTCTGTTTGTTTTATTCACGCATCGTTGTCAATATAATGGAATTTAATGCGACTGTCATACAAGTGAGAGGTTTAGCGCTATAAAACCAGGTTCAAACCACCGTTTTCTACATAAGAAAATGCCTGTACCAAGTCAGGAATATGACAGTTGTTGTCCATTCGTTTGATGTGTTTGTGCTTTTGATTTTGCCATTTGATTAGGGACTTTCCGTTTTGAATTTTCCTCGGAGTTCAGTATTTTTGTGATTTAACTTTTTATATTCATTTGAGAAAAGAAACAAAAACAATCAAAACTATAAACCAAGCATTTATCAATGGCAAAAGTGGGCAGATGAAAAATGCAGAATCCATGCTGCCGGTACTGTTTATAAAATTATAATTTAACAGTGCCTTTTTTGATGCATTCTAAAAATACATACCAATTTTTCCAATATGTTTTTAAAAGTGATGTCCAAGTCAGTGAAAAAACTATGTGAATTAAGTTTTTTATCCTACATTGAACTTTTGATGTCGTCCCTAAGACATGTCAAAATAGAAATGACAAATTATAAAATTTGAATGTACCTACAGGTCTGTAGAAGAAGAAACTTCAAATAAAAAAAATCCGACAGTTTACTAACAGTTATATAAGCTATTGTTTACTTACTGTTTAATAGAGAGAATACCGAAATGGTCAATACAATATCCTCGAATCTTAAAAAGTTGGTTCTCAAATCTTCTTGAGGTTTACATTTTTCGCTACTCATTCAAACAATTTTTTTTGTACATGCCGGTCATTCTATCTTGTATCAAAATACTAAATAATTCTTATGTTTAAATAACTACGTTTATTTATATTTGACTCTTTCAAATAATTTGTATAGAAAAAAATTAGAAATTATTTAGAAATAAACACATTTTAAGGTCCAACAGTTCTAACAACTTTCGGAATTGTAGGTCCTCATTGCTCTTCAAATTTCTTACTTCAATTTACTTGTTTGATTTGAGGGTCACTGATGTGTCTATTGTAGACGGAACGTGCGTCTGGCGTACAAAAGTTTAATCCTGTTATCAATAGAAAAACAAAGTATGCATGGGTATCCATCCATGACACAAAATAAGTACATGCACAGAAAAAAACCACATACAATTAAAAGGAACAGCGCTTTTATTGCTGTTCTTCATCTCAATGTTGAGTTTATGTACCTATTTTAACTGTGAATCAATAACCTTAATCAAGGACAAAATAACGCCAGGCCTCAAAAATCCATACTCTCCCTCCCCTAAATTACATAGTAATGGTGAATTTCTTTTTCTTTTTTTCTTTTTCTGTAAAATGAAAATTATGTTTTATAAATGGAGCGTTTGAATGATTTACCAATATCAGAAACGCTCACCCCCCACCAAAAAAAAA